AAGTGCTATTAGATAAGGTTGGCAGCAGCTATTTTAGCACTCCTGGACCCTGGCAGGTGGCAGTGTGGGAAATGTGTGGTAGCCCCCGGGCCCTGACAATTCCTGGGATGTAATGGTGCCGCTGACCAGCCTTCCTGAGTGAGCAATGGATTTGCTTTCTTACCAGCCTTGACAAATTGCCCCCTCTCTCTCAGCTGACCTGTTTGAGCTGTGCTTGCCTGGCTCACCAGGAGGGGTGGTGGTGTATGGGCGACCTGGGCTCACACATTAGTGCTCTGACTGAAGTGCCCTTTTCCAGCTCTTGGCAGTCACATTTGTTTCTATGACCTACAGGACTTTGCTTTGCCTTAAAAGCCATAATTGTCTCACTCTCCTGAGGTTAACACTGTCACTCTGATGGCTGGGGCTGTGTTATTTAGAAGGGTGAAAGAACGTGGTGTTTTGAGAGTGACTGTCAGCTCAGCAGAGCTCTGGAAGTCAGCAGTGCAGGGAGCTGGCCCTGTAACCAGTTTACAGGATCAGGGATGCAGGTATTTCCCAAGTTTTCCTCACTAATTACCTACACTCTTTCTCCCCTTTGGCGAGGAGCTGCTGATTTGTGGGATGTGTTTCCTAATGGCTTGGCTGGAATGCAGCTCTGACTGGTGTCTGTTCAGCAAGGTGAGGTTGTGCTTTGCTTCCCTGTGTGCAGGTCATCGGGATCGGGGCCGGGCAGCAGTCCCGGATCCACTGCACTCGCCTGGCCGGTGACAAGGCCAACAACTGGTGGCTGCGGCACCACCCGCGCGTGCTCTCCATGAAGTTCAAGGCGGGAGTGAAGAGAGCCGAGATCTCCAACGCCATCGACCAGTACGTCACCGGCACCATCGGAGAGGTGAGGGCCGGCTGGGAGCCTTCCCTGCAGCTCCAGCCTCTGCCAAACAAAGGCTTTATGCAGGACTTTAACCTGGCCTGAGTGTCCTAATAGAAGATGGCTCTTCCCAGCAGTGAGGATGGGTTAAATCTTCAGTTGATGTTCCAACCCTCCCTGCTCTGTCAGTGGCACCTTCTCACATGGAGCTGTTTGCTTGTGTGGCATTTTGGATTCTCAGAATCCCTCTGACCTCCCTCCCCCTTACAGGCAATAGTGAAACAAGAAAACAGTATGTCCTTTTTAAGTAGCAAAAGCCAAGGGCTGGATTAGGGACCTTGTGAATCATCTCTCTGAGCAGTTTAAGGGGGCAAGAATTGGAGCAGTTGCTGTTTCAGAAGGTGAATCATAAACCAAGCTGCCGTTTGCCATGTGTTAAGTCATCTACCAGACCCTGTTTGTGTGTGCTGGCATTTACCATGCTGCTGGCAGGCCAGACAGAGCATCTTGGAATAAAGGGGGGGAGAAGGAATGCTTCAAGCCCTGGGGTGAGGAGGGGGGAGGAAAGGAGTTAAAGGGTTCCAAAAGAGCTGATGGTGGTATAGTGTTCCTACTTTGGATTTTAAACCCCCTGGTTTGAAGTTCCCAGCAGCAGAGCTGTGGAACACAAAGTCCAGCTGAGCTGGGTGTCAGGGGATGCCATTGCTCATCCCTGTGTCCCTGGCAGGGGAATGCTGGGAGTCCCCGGCTCTGGGGCTGAGCTGGGTTTTGTCCCTGCAGGATGAGGACCTGGTGAAGTGGCAGGCCTTGTTTGAAGAGGTGCCCAAGCAGCTCACAGAAGTGGAGAAGAAGCAGTGGATTGCCAAGCTGTCCGCTGTGTCCCTCAGCTCCGACGCCTTCTTCCCTTTCAGGGATAACGTTGACAGGGCTAAGCGGGTAAGTCGTGGCAGGGCTGAGGTGTTGGGGGGACTCCAGGCAATGGTTTTTCCTTTTCATTTTGTGTAGACAGCTGAGGAAGGTCCTCACAAGTCCCTTTTGTGGGGACTGCTGAGGAACATCTTGCACTGCTGGCTAGGGTAGCAAATCCTGGGAAGAGTGTTCCTTCTAGTTACTGGCCTCACGTGGACAGTAATTATCCAGCCATTGCTCAGTTTGCTGATTTAGGATGAACAGAGGATTAAAGTTTATAAAACCATTTAAGAATATCAAGACAAGGCCTGTCACTTTCAGAGGAACCCTTTTAGTCTTCCTTCTGAGCAGTGAACTTCCTGCTCCCTTGAGGGGCAGCTTTTGGCAACAGAAGCCTTTGTTTGTTCAGTGGGATGTGGATGAAGGACTGGGGCTGCCAGCTCCTTCCAAGGGGGATTTTGGTATTCCATCCTCCAACCCTTGCCCTCACCCTGTCTGTGTGCAGAGTGGAGTGCAGTTCATCGCTGCCCCGTCTGGCTCGGCTGCTGACGACATTGTGATCGACGCCTGCAACGAGCTGGGGATAACCCTGATCCACACCAACCTCCGCCTGTTCCACCACTGAGTCGGGGCTGCCCTGCCCCCTTTGGTCACAGCCTCACCAGCAGCAGGGATGGAATATCACTGGCTTAACTGGGAGGCACTGGCTTAACTGGGAGGCACTTAGCAGGGGTTGGTCAGCTCTGCAGAGAGGTCTCTGCCCATGTTACCAGAGAAGGAGGCACTGGAATTGCCTTCCAATGTAGAAAATCAGTGTCTTTTGCAAATAAACATACGGTTGTCAGCTGTGTGCAGTGGTCTTGTGTCATCCAAATACTGTGTCCTTGGGAAGAAGGTGTATTTCTGCAGTAGATTATAGTCCAGCCTTTACTAATTCATTACGTGGCCTGTGGGATGGTGTGAAAGCCTGGCTTCTGCCCAGCTTCTCACTGAACTGATAAAAACCTGTGTTACACTGAACTGAGTTGGGTTCTTGTCTTTTTGAGTCAGCAGGTAGCTTTCCCCAGGTGCTGCCAATCCATTATCCCCTTTCCCTGGGAGGAGAGGGGAGCAGGTCCTTTGTGTGAGGCAGTCTGGGGCTCTGCTCTGAGCCCTGCCCCAGACTGTGTGTGCTTTGCCAGGGTCAGGTTGCTTTCTCCAGGGTAAAGGACCCATTGACAGGCTTGTCCCCATACCAGGAGTTCAGATCAGAGTTCACCCAGGAGAAGTAGAGGATTCTACTATTTTTTTTAATACTTTAAGAGTTGGGGTTTGGACTCTTTCTTCCACAGAGGAGTCAGAACTGTTCCTTACATGTCTTTTCTCTTGTGCTGTTTTGGCTGGAGCTGGCACATCCCCTGCAATGGGGTTCTCTGGGGAGTCTCAGTCCATTCTTTACCTGTGTCTTCAAAAGCATTGGCTAAAACAGAGACTGGTAATAAGAACCTGACAGCTCCTGATCTGTGTATTCCAACTGATCCTTTGTTTGCTGTCCTTGGGGCACTGTTTATCTCCTGATGGAAGTTAATAGGTACTAACCTTCCAGGTGAGATCTCTGCATGAGATAGTAGATGTCTAACTAAGGTGATGCCTCTTTAGGGCCTGTGTGAGCCTGTGTGGCAGGGTGATTTTGCCTCCTGCTGTGCCTGTGGTAAGGATAAAGGACATGTAGGAGTTGTCAGAGTGGGAGAATTGCACCCAATTGTCCAATGTCTCAAACCAGTGTCCTTGACAACCCTGCCTCACTCCTCTGGATGAAGGCTGATAAAAATCTCTGGTCTAGTTCCAGGTGTGAGGTGACTTCACAGGAATGCCCAGGGAGTGCCTTGTCACCTGAGCTGCAGTGGCAATTTCAACCAGCACAAAGCCTTCCCCTGGAAGGAGGGTTCCCCTGAGGCTCTGAGAGTGGTTCTCTGTAAGAAAGGGCTGTGATGGGCTGTAGAGTCCCTTATGAAGCTCCCTGACCTGCTGGATGAAGGAATGACTCCTCTCTTGGATGGTTGCAGCGATTACAAGTGAGCTGTGTAGCTCTTCTTGGTATCTGTTTCCCTCAGGATAGGGAATGTCCCTTCCCACAGGGGCAGGTTGCCACCTTCAGCCTCTGTGTGCTGAAGAGTGAACTGCTGCCAGGCTTGGATCTGCACTGTCACCCTATGGCACCTTGCCCCTGGCAGGTCCTGTGCTGGCACAACAGCTCCCAAGGTGTGGACAGAAACAGGAGAGCAGGGAGGGATCATTCTTGCCCTTGGCAGGCAGTAGTAGATTTTTTAAATTTTTTTTTTAGACTTATTTATTTTTTCCCTCCAGCCACCAAGGAACTCCTCCCCGGAGTACAGAACCCTGACTCTGGTTGTTCCTGGGCTAGTTATCTTGGGGCTCAAGTGGATTGTGGATATAAATCAAGCCTGTTTTAAGGTCCAGCTGCTGTTCCATGGCCACTCTATGCAGTAGGGCCTGGGGGAAGGATGGGAACCCTCAAAAACCTTGGTTCCTTGTGTTGCTGGTGGTTTCCAGAAGGCAGTGTGTTGTTGAGACCTCAGATCTCACAGGTACCACACCCTCTGTGCTGCACTCTGCTAGTGCTTTTCAAATGGGATGAAAACAGATGTAGCTGTGACGAAATACCCAGCACTGCACTACTGAATGTTAAAAATAAATTATCAGCAATGTGAAAGTATCCAGAAATTATCAACAGTGTAAACCTTTGTGTGCTTTAAGGCACAGACAAGCCTCTACAGGGAGCTTGGGAAAATGGGCTGTTTAAACCATTTTATCTTGAAATGGTTCCTGTGGGGAGGGGGAGGTGTTTGCTGCTGTTACAAGAGTTGTGACATTGGAGTGCAGAGGTGAGGTGGACTCTTTTTCTGCTGGGTAATTCTTGTGTGTCCATGAAGTGAATGAATTACTTAGTGACAAAGTGACTATAGAGGGATCTTTGCAATTGGTCTCTGGTCCAAAATATGTAGCCTGCACTTGGGAAAACCAAATAGCAATCTAGTTTAATGGGAAAGTATTGTTCTGTGCATCTCTGTCTAGGCAGTTTTAGATCTCCTGTATTTTAGGGGCTCATTTGGCTCTGGAACACTGGTGGGACAGAGCTGATTGCCGCTGCAATCATCACACTGTAAATGTTTGGGTTGTTCTATGTATAGCAATCCCTGAAGGCAACTGCCATGTGTGTTTCGCATGTCAAGGAGCCAAATTCTCTTTTCATGCGATGCTTTATTCAGTGCAGAGAATCCCCTTGCCTTGAGCAGTACAGTGCGTGCGCAGCCAGGCGGGAATGGGGCCGAGGAATGGCGGCAGGACCTTTCCTGACCCTGCTCTGCGTTTGCAAAGCTGGACAGGCATGGGCAGCATTGGCAGCACAAGCGAAAGGGACTCAGTGCTGACTTGGTTAGTTCTAAAGACTGGCTTTGTTTTAAAAAGGGTTTTGAGGGGAATTTTTCATTCACCTCCCTCCCCGTCCCATGAGGTAGAAGCACAGGAGATGTGAAAGGGGCCCGTAAGGCACAGGCAGGGACGAAGGTGGTGCCTGTCCCCTGCTGGGCTCTGAATCCTTGAGCACATCCAGCATCACAGGTTTGGACGGTCTCGCTCCTTTTGGCAACTCAACCACTGAAAGCTTATTTAATTTTAGGTATGTAGGTCTCTGGCTGGATTAGGACCATTGCTACACCTCAGTTCACGTGCAAAGCAGGGACTGTTTTCCTTTCCCTCCCTTCCCGCTGTTGCCCCAAAGCAAGCCTGTACCTACTCACTGTCTTTGCGCTCTACAGGGGCAGGGGGTGCAGCTGCAAGCCTTTAATTAATAAGCTGCTCTACCAATATTCTCTTGAGGTTTACTTCATGCTTCCTGGGGGTGTTTGGTCCATCTTGTGTCAAGGCACTCTTACTCCAGCTCTGAATAATCCCGCTCAGAATAATCTCGCTCTGCATAATCCCGCTCTGCATAATCATCTTCATCCTAAATTCCATGGTAGCAAAGAGAATCACTTAAACTATATGTCTGGTTTGTAAATCTTTTTATTAAAAGAGTTGTTTTTTTCTTTTCCACAGTAGTAAAGCTTTGGCACTTACAGTATAAAAATAATCACTGATCATAATTACACCAAATTCCTCTTTGTCAACTGCATACTAAGTGTCCTCAATACATTTTATTCCCATATAAAAACACTTGAAGGTCAGGGGAACAAAACTGATAAATAACGGTATGAGATATAAAGATACAGCTAGAAAAATACTAGGATCATTGAGAAAGGATTAGGACTGTGCATATTTTAAATATCACAGTGATTGGATTTGCTGTTCCTATCTTATTGCTGGCTGCACGCTTATGTGAAAGCAGAAGTGTTTGGTGGACTTTCCTATCCCTAAACCTCAGTAATGTTGTACTCAAATGTTCTTTGCATAGCACGGGAACCTTGAATTTCTACACCCTCCCTCACCCTCAATATTTTGATCCCCCACCAAATTTGTGATTTAGAACCTTCCCCCCCCTCGCTTTTTTTTTTTTCCCTTTAAATTTGAAAATATTGACTGGTATTCAACACCTTGGGCAGAACCAAGACAATCACTATCAATCATGAGAAAAGTCTGAAACACTCCAAGAGTGGCGCTTGGAGAAGCTGTGAGTTGAGCTTAAGCTGGGAAAATGGCTCCAGAGCAGAGGGCCATTCTCAGAAGATGCAGATTTGCTAGCATCCCTCCAGTTTGGATGGTGACCGTGGCACATGGGTATTTATGCTTTGGTTTGTCTGTTGCCATTGCCGCCAGTGTCGCTCGCTGTTACTTTCCCCGTGGCTGCTGTGTGTCTGCCTGTACATCTAAGGGCATGAAACACTCAATGGGGCAGTTCACGTTCTGTCGGGAGGGAAGGAAATCGGTTAGTGCTCCATCCTGGCAGGACGGACACGGCCCTGCCGTGCTTTGGGCTGGGAATTGTTGCTGTTCGGTTTTCCCAGCACAGAGCGCACAGTTGGCTCCCGGCAGCAAGGGAAGGCTTGGGAATCTCTCCATGCACTACCACCTCGGAGCATGCAACCGGATCCTGCACTGAGTGTGTGTGGAGGGGGGGCTCATGCAGATGTGCTGTGCAGTGCTGGCTGGCTCAGTGCCCTCATGCACCCCTGCCCGAGCAGAAGCTGCAGCTCCTCTCACCCTTAGCTCTGCACGGACCCCCCAGAGCTGTGCCAGAGACCAGGCTCACAGTCAGACAGGGCAGAGAAGGAAGGGGTACTCACGGTGTTCGTGGCCTGGTGGTATCTCTGTGTAAACTGTGTGTAGGTGTGGCCAGCAGAGCCCTCGGGGGCCACCTCCACACTGGGTCTGCGGCAGTTGTCACAGCGCCAGCCCTGCAAGGACACAACATACTGGTCACACCCCACTGGTGGGAGGGCAAAGGAGCTGCCAGGACTTACAGAATGGAAGGGACCCTAAAGATCATCTCATTCCACCCCCCTGCCATGGGCAGAGACACCTTCTACCTAGACCAGGTTGCTCCAAGCCCCATCCAACCTGGCCTGGGACACTTCCAGGGATGGGGCAGCCACAGCTTCTCTGGGCAACCTGTGCCAAGGCCTCACCACCCTCTCAGGGAAGAATTCATTTCAGTATCTAATCTAGATCTACCCTCATTCAGCTTAAAAGCCATTAATTCATCCACATTCATACACGTGCCTACAGAGCCACCAACACCAGTGAGGCTGCTCCCATGTTATACCACGCAGCCCCTGACAGCAAATACTTAAGTTCTTCTACTAATCATTTTTCTTACATGGGCCTGTTTTGGCCCTTTTCATGACCTAAAACCCAGCAGTCGTAGAAGTGCACCCAAGCACAGCCTCTCTCTCCATTCCCTATGTTCAGCTCACCACATCCCTGCTCCTTACCTGCTGTCCTCCGTAACAAGTGCAGGAGCAGATGGCCCCAAAGTACTCCTTCTGCCACTGCTCTCCAACCTGGTACATCTTCCCATCGTCATAGCACGTGGTCTCATCTGTGGAGGAACAGGCAGAGCTCACTGTGGGGCCTGTGCTTGGCTTTAAGCATTCTCAGAGCAGCTTGGTGACGAGAGGGGAGCCCATGGCCAGTACACTCTCCGTGTCTGATCAGAGGCTCACAGACTGGCAGGGGAACATCAGTCATTTTTATAGCTCCAGAGACACTTTTAACTAGAACGTGAGGCTATTGACCTGACAAGAGCAATACACTTTAAATCACAGCATGAAGTCCAGAGGAGCTTCAAGCCACAGGCCCTGCAGAAGAGTCCACCTGGGGTGATCCACGCCACTCAGTGCAGTGACATGTCCCTGGTGTGCAGCTCCAGGGCCACAAACAGGCAGGGCTGAGTGTGCTGTGACCTGAGCTCACAAGAGAGGGTTTTCTTCTTTTCAGGCTCAGGAATATGAGATTTATGTCTTCAGCCCTTGTGAGAACAGATGGAAGGTGTCACCAGTCCAGCCTGAATCAGACACACTGATATTCTGCATGCCCCCAAGGCAGGACCAGAAGTTAATGGGGACAGCCCTGAGATGCTGAAATTTCCTGAATGGGAGCTCAAATGAACATCACAAAGAGACTTACGAGGTTCACACTTGAATTCTCCTTTTCCATTCCCCAGGCAGGTGCAGCTCATCATCTGGCCGTTCTCCCCTTGCCGGTCCCACTTCTCCCCAATCTTGTAGTTCACTCCATTGTCGTGGCACCACTCTGGGGGAGGCAGAGCAAAAAGAAGCAGGAGTTATCCCGCATGCTGCAGTGGCACAGCAGGAGGGAAACAGGTTGGCATTGTCTCAGGAGCCAACAAAAGGGCAAGAGAAGGAATCTTTTCACCTCATGTAAGTCCCAAGGAGGAAATGGGTTCAGATGCTGCAGTTTTTAACTGCTGAGGACTGTTTCAGCTCTGGGAAATGGCTAGAGGCTCTGGGGAAAAGAGTAGGTAGGATGTGACAAAGAGTGGGGAGAGGGAGAGGAAAGTTGGTTAACAGGGAAGAAAGAGAAATGAAAGGGAATTTAACAGACATGGGGCAGGAAGAAAGAGAAAAATATTTTAAATACTCTCTTTTTTGAGCAAATACCCAGTATAAACTGTATCACAGAGGCTGCAAGACACAATGGGTAAGCCATGTGTATCATATAATGACATATAAATATTAATCCTGTAAAATAAGAGTCTTTCCTTCAGTCACTCCTCTGAGCCTATGCAAATACAGAAATATCCTCTTTGCTGAGCTTATCCCACAATTTAAAAGCCTAATTTCAATTAGTCGGGTATGTGTTGTGTTAAACTGCTTAATCACAGACTTTTGTTCCACTCCCTTACATCGAGTTTGACGCTTTTCCATGTAAACCACAGTCTGCAAAGAATCAAACTTAGTGCCCTGGGCAGAAGCGTTAGAAAAATTAGAAAACTGGTTTTGCAAGATGCTTTGCAAAGGCTGTCTGCACTGCAAACCAGACTGGCTGTAACACCCACTGAGATCCACACCACTTCTGTCTGGCCCACTGTAACAATGTGTACAATCAGGAGATGAAGATCCAACCCCAACTTGATATTCAAAGCTGTTGTTTCAAATGGTTACTCAGACACTGTCACTTGGGTGTCTTGCCAATCTCACTTTTACATATTACCTTGCCTGGCAAGGGTAGGGAAAATTAAATAAACATTTATCTAGGGTGAAAATTAATTTATCAGTACAATATTAATCATTGCTGGTGCAGTGAATGGCAATACTAGATAAGCTGCACAGCTCAGAGGCAACCAAAGTTTTCCATCACTTCCCATGATGCAAAACATTGCTTTGGTTTAAATACTTCAGATCCTGCATTCCTTTGCCTCATGTTTGGATCAGGCTGGTTCTGTCAAACATGCCAACAGTGCTCAGGGAGACTGGAGATGGGGGTGGTTAAAAGCAAGCTACTCACTAGAAGAATCACATCTGAAATGGCCACTGCCAAAGCCTAAACACTGGCACCAGAGTTTAAAGCCAGTTTCAGATAAGCGCTCCCATTCCTCGCCAATGGAATAGAAGGAGCCAGTGTAAGTATCGAAGCAGGTGTCGTCAGCTGGCTGGTTTAGTCCTTCAGACACTGCAACAAAAAAAAAAAAAGAGAGAAGAAACACTCATCACACTCAGCAATAGGAACTACTGAAACACAGAACGATTTTCACTGAATAGACACTTTTTTTCTTCTTATAATCCCCTGACAGTAATGGAGCTGCTTCAGGGGCATGTACTTGATGGTTCTGTCAGCAGTCCAGACTCCCTGGGATTCATTTTCCATTTGCATGTGTCACAGCAGCTGAATGATTAAAAAAACTGGCATGAAGGCTATTCTCTCATTTGCCAAATCTCAAGCAAGTGTGAGTTTCTGCATTTGCTGCTGGAGAGCCATGACCTGACTCTGCCTGTTTTTAAGAGAAATGTGCTGTCAGATGCTGGGGATAACAGGGGTTGGTAGGTTACGTGCACTTTTTTGGGGCACTTCAGATTCCAGCTCTTGGCAGGGGCATGGGAGAAGGAGAGCAGACCATGTTGTTGGACAGTGATTTTTCACCTTAGGTGTGTGCCCTGACTGGTGGTGGGTGTTTTACAACCACCAGTTCAGCATGTAATGATCAAGAGTTAATGGTTTTGGTTCAGTCTAGGACAGACTGGGGTGCTGAAAGCAGAAAAATAGCTTTATTTCCAAGGGAGTGGAGGCAGTAGGAAGCTGCATGGAGAGACTGAATGGATGGAGAAAATAAACCCTTATCTCTTCATTTCCTCTCCTCCTCTTCTTTTTCACCTCAAAATACACACAGGAGGAGAAGAGGGCTGTTGACCAGCCCCAGGTCCCACAGGGTGTGTGTGGGCTCTGGGCTCTCCAGCTGTGGGAAGTGCTGTCTCAGACCACAAGTACTTGTGGTTGGTCACATGGTTTCTAAATGCTGCCTGTTGGTGCTTAATCAGCATCTCTGTGGGCAGCCTGCCCTGCTGCCAGACCTGCCTTTGAGATGGTCTACAGGGCTGCTGGATAACAGCAGCAGTGGGAAGTGACTTGACAGGGCAGTTAAGCAGCCAGGCAGGAATCTGCGACTCCAGCGTGATCCCAGACTTCCTTCCAGAGGAGCAAATACCAGCTCTCTTAGTCTCTCTCTTGGGCACTGAACCTTGAGGAGTTTGTGGAGCATCAAAGCACATTGTGATTAGACAGCAGATCAGAATAGCTCTAGTCCCACAGTCAGTTATCCCAAACCAGCAGACCTCACAAATCACTTGTCCCAGTGTCCTGCTACAAAAACTCTCCTTACCAGAAGAGGTTTCCTTTCTGAACTACTCTCAGGCCTGGGCACCAGGTAGGTTGCCTTGAGTAAAGGAAATGAGGCAGGGACAGCACAGGTTCACCCAGACTCTGTAAGGTTTTTCCTTACCAGTATTGCCAACTGTGACCACCTCCTCCAGCACCTTCTGTCTCCGGTGATCCTTCAGGGCTTCCACTATGATGTTGTAGGTGGCCCCTCTTGTAAGACCCGTGAGCGTGGCACTGGAAGAAGTGCCAGGAACCCTGAACTGCAACAAGAGACAATGCCAGGTCACTGGAAAGGGAGGAGTGAACACCCTTTAACTGCTACCTCTCTCACAGGAAAGAGAGGCTTAGACTGACCTCTACGACCATCTTGGAGCCAGACCATTCTCCTCAGATGTTCGGAGAACTTCAAACAATACCAAATTAAACTTGCCTACTCTGGACTATAGATCATGAGGGGTATGTTATTACTGCCATTTCAGGGAAACAGAAACCAAGGGAGACATAGCAGGAGTCTTTGGCTTGGAGAAGCAGCACCTCAGTCTTTGAAACTCCCACTCAGCTCCCTGACTGCCCCCTTCCATGGTGAAATGTTGGTCCTGACAGCATTTCAAGGCTTTCTGGTTTAGCTGTTTTATCTTGTAGCCTTCTCCATGAAGGAGAGGAGGGAGGCATTTATCCTTCCTGGTCTCAGCTGTGTGTTAAAACAGACTCTTCAAGCTGATTCTGACTGGCACTCCCTTAGCATAGCAAAGGGACTGCTCTCCCAAGGGAATGTGCTGCCACAGGTGAGGCTCTGCTGGGACAGCCCAGTTACCTGCAGTGTATCCTCGTCCTGGCTGATGGGCTGACAGGAGATGATGTACTCAGAGCTCTCCAGCAGTGGCCTCCAGGAGATGGTTGTCTGAGAAAGAGCTTCTTGGCCCGTGGTGTCGTTGCGCCGGGGCCCGCGGGAGTGAGGGTAGGAAGGCTCCACGATGATGGGCACCTGGTAGCCCGGGATCTCGATGGCCTCGTCCACGTTGGGCAGCGGCCGCCTCGAGCCCGGCCTGAGGGGAGTGGCTGTGGTGGGCCACAGGCCGCCTTGTATTCTTCATGCTCCTCAAAGAAGACCTGCTGGCCCTGGTGTCCTACTGTCTGTGGGTGCCCAGAGGTGCCTGGAAGTTGGATACCATTTCCATTGTCATACCTGTTGTTTGTGATGTAGGGGGTCCCCTCGTCAATGGAAGGCACATCCAGGATGTCAGGCTGGTTGGGGTGTGGTCTGGTAATCAATGTGGGGAGGTCATCTGGCCAAAGAAAAGTTGGAGTCATAAAGCAAAGCGTGCAAATCAACAACAGCAAATTAAACAGCTGCAGTGGGTGCTGTACACCACTCCAGGCAGCAAATATTAGCAATCATCCCAGCATGCAACACACTTTTTATGACCTCATTGTGACTGTAAAGTTAATTTCTCTCTCTATATTTATATACCATATAAATATCTGTACATCTTTCATACATAGGCATAAGAAGTGTGTCGGTATGAAGTTTTTATACAGCTGAGCAACAGTTTTGAACACTGGAACCCAAAGAAGCCACCACCACTGCTCAGATTGAGAAGAAATTATTACACATGATTACAAATGATAGTCACAGGTTATCAGTTTAAGAGGAATCACTGGTATGCAGGAAGAAATTAGCTCCTTGGTCACATTTGGATACCTAGCTGGTATTTTGCTTGCTACAGGTATCTCAGTCTCATACTGTGAAGGCTGCAGAGTAAGGAAATGCAACGGGCAACAAATGAATGGTTTCTGCATTTGATGCCATCATGTGTTAGGCAGTAATGTGAGTGTCAACACTAACTTAATTATCAAGTAGGTACCCAGGCAAGAATCCAGCACCAAGCATATTGTTCTGTTCTTAGCGTTCAAGCACAGCTAAACACAATTAATGTGTGTTTCAGAATTGTACCTCCTGCATCCTAGAAAGAAAAACCTTCTTACGAAGCCTATTTGACTCAATAGAAAAAGACATGGTGTGAGTGGTGTGAACAGGATATTTTAAAAACCATTATCATTTCAGTCCTGACATTGTATTCTGCAACTGCAAAACATCATCTCCTGTTGTCACACACCAATCCAGAGCTTTGTTTTACCTGTCCTTTTTCTGCCAACCAGTGGTTCACTCTTCTGAGTGTTCTTCACTGCAATGATGTAGATGATGTATTCAGTACCTGGTTCCAAACCTAGGGAGGGAGGAAGGACATAAAACCATCTTAAAATGAAGAGTTGCTTTTCTTTCATGATTATGTGTGAGATCTGAGGCAGAATGAGAGGTGGGTAATGGCTACAGCATGGGTGTGTGCATTTTGGATCTGAGGTTTTCAGGGAGGACAAGAGAGTTCAGCCTCCTGTTTCTCAGAGCAAGTCTGAAATCTGACCATGTCAGCTGGGATCACAGACCCAAATATAATGAGCCCAGCAGGTGTGACTGGCAGGGTGCCACAGTCAGGGCCTTTTTCCTTGAAAGGACAACAACTGTGGTGACAGTAGAAACAAACATCTGGATTGTTCGGTTGTGGTGGCTGAACGATCAGTGAAGACTAATGTGTTGTAGGACAGGTGTGGTCATAAAATCACTGACTGGCATTGGAATAAGGGAAACCACAATAAATCTCTATTACCTGACCACCAACACATTTTATAATTCTGCCTTCCCTTTCTCTTCAAATTTAGGTGTTTCAGATGGAGAGCTCCCAGACAAAACATTTACCAGTAATAGTGGCCTCGGTGGTGCCGGGCCGAGGGCGAGGCAGAACCTCCTTGACAGGTGAGCCAGGTTTCTCATATCTGATGATGTAGCCAGTGATCTTGGCTCGGGGAGCCTGCCAGGTAAGCAGGATGGAGTTGCTCGTGGTTGTAAGGAAGCGCAGGTTAGAAGGAGCATCGATAGCTGGGGGAAAGCAAAAGGAAACAAGTCAAATGCAGTAAAGACCAGCAGATTCTTTACTATCTGCTCGACACCCTTCTCAGACTCAGGAGTAAAACCTATTGCTCTAAGTCACAGTAAACATTGAATGTTATCAGATACAGGCAACTCCTAATTGACCATATGTGGTTACTATGTGTCAACATGAGCAGAAAAGTCAGACAAGATCATTACCAGTGGAGGCATCAAGTACTACTGGAGAGCTGCGTGCATTCTCGTTCAGGGTGTAAAGGTAGATCTTGTAGTCAGTGCCAGGCTGCAAGCCTAAAATGAGATTGAAACATAAATGTTAGCTAATCCATCCAAAAGGGCCATGAGAATGTCTTTCAACAATCTCTTCTTGGAGACTGGTCTTTATAACTCATATTTTTTCCTTCCTTTTGTTCCTGCAGTAGTTCTCCTCAAGGAAATTCAATTAGAATCCAAGAATCTGATATGCCCCGGGTAGGGCCTGCATCTGCAGAAGCCCTCACTTACCAGTGATAGTGTAACTCCTGACTTCAGGGCTGATGGTCCTTTGAACAGGGTTCTGGCCACTGGCTGGGACAGCTTCAACCAGGAAGCCAGTGATGGTCTCAGTCTTGGTTCTCCAGGTGATGGTGATGGTTGTCTCGGTGGCATCTGTCACACGGGGCCTGCGAGGGGGACTAACATCTGCACCAGGAGGAAAAGATGTCCTGTCAGCACAGTAGGGACTGTGAATCCTATCAGCCAAGTGCTTGTGGAGCTTTGTACAGAGCCCGCTTCCGACACAGAGCAGGATCCCGGCCTCTGCATCCACACAGGACTAACTGGTCACTGGGGGAGGGTCACTACTTACTCTCCAGAGTGGTGACCACCCCCTGGGCTGGCCGGCTGGTCAGGGAGTCCTTCAGGGCATACACACTCACTTCATACTTGGTTGCTACCTGGAATGAACAAGGTTACACAGTGTTAGGAGAAGGAACTAGCACAAGGGAAATGCTCCTGCCCTCCTTCAGGGTTTGGTGGAGCCACATTTCTCAGTCACTGAAGTATGAAACCTTAAAATAACTCAAATCAGGGATGGATTGATGGGATAATTCTAATTATTTCCAGCTGTAATAAAAGAGTAGACATGGACCCTGATAAACAGTGCTGTTGGTAATACTAGTAGTGCACATGAACACACTCAGGAGCAGAAGAAATCCTAGAAAAAGCTTATTCATCATCCCTCATCTTGGAATCTGTGCTTCAAAGCTGATTCTTCAGGAAAAAAAACCTCATTTCCCTCCTATTTTTCCCAGGGTTAATGGATGCCATTTACAATGATAAGGTGGCTCTTGCTGTGAATAAAAGAACGGTAGAAGTTATAGCATGGGGTTTTTTGTCCTTGACTCCATCAGACCATGAGCCCACTTAGATTAGAATGTTTTTTAAGGCTCATTTTTGAAAATGATTCATAAAACTCCTTAAAAACAGATCAGTAGCTTTTTAAGATTGCAGGAACCATAAAAGCAGTGATTTTCAACCTTTTCCAGTTCAGGAACTCCTGAAATGTTTCCAGTGGAGAAGATGGCTATATAGCAAATTTAAGCCTACTCACAAAAGACCTGCATTTTTAACTTACATTTTGCAGATGTCCTAAAAATAGGAAAGAGACTGCCAGAGCACTCCCATATCACAGCTTGAAACCCCCTGCCTTAGATCACTTTACTTGACCTCTTTTGTGAGAGATGAGTAAAAGCATTTTACTGGGTTACTCCTGATTGTGAACCTGGTAATTTGCATTTGATTAAGGCATCCAGTCTCTCTGTGCTGGGAGATGAGGAAGAATGCAGATTCAGCAGGCCAATTACTTGCCTTTTACAAAACTACAGTGAGGAGTAGTTGCAGTCTGACCAGCCACCAGCTTCAGTCAGACCCTCAGGAGTTGTAATGTTCTGCTCCAACTGAAGTTCCTGACCCAGGAATTGGAAATTGCTTCAAGTTCTCCTAACACCTCCTCCTCCCAACACAAAGAAAAGAGTTACCATCAATCCAGACACGACTGCGGATGTGCTGTCTGGAGAAAGGTTGATTTCTTTCATAGGCCCAGTCTTTTCCTTGGGGTTCACTCGGACTCTGTAGCCAGTGAGGCGAACGTTGGGTGCGCTCCAGGTGGCCGTGAGACTGGTGGGAGTTACCTGAGTGAACCTCAGGTTTGTGGGAGGTGGAATTGCTGCAAAAATCCAAATTGGCACAGGGTCAGTTTAAAAAGGACAGTCCTGGATAAGACAGTCTTCTCTCCCGAACCTGAGACAGGTTTAGGCCAGGAAAGTGGTGTGCCTTCCGCAAGCACAGGCATAAAGCACCACAGAAGGGGACATGGTATTCAGGAGGAGACTCTCAAGTCTACATAACACTTTCCAGCAGAAATAAGGAGATATTGATGCTTCAGGCTCTGAAGTTAAGAGAGCACTGACATTTGCTATGATATAACCTATAGGCTTTGGGAGGTGTTTAAATCTACAGCAGGCCCGTCTGTTTTAATTATTCCACCAGGCTCTGCTTCTCAGCCCACAGCTCATAGTTTAGTCCTGCTTCACTTGCCCCTATCTGTTCATGATGATTTACAGAAGTAAGTAGGAAGAAGGCTCAGGAATTGCAGAGAGGATATAAAAATACTGCAAATGTAGAAGGGAAGCATTTAACAGCCACTTACACAAGTGTAAATTACTACACAGAGAGCAAGGCAATGGAAAAGCAGAGCTGTGGTGGCCATAAGGCTCATCACACAAGAGCCTGTTCATGAGCTAACATATCTGATATCCTTATAAACAAATGTTTGCATAAAAAAGGAGCATCCATTGAAGTGTTTTCTTGCCTTACTGTTGGTAATCCATGGGTTGTAAACAGAGGAAAGATATCCCTTACCACAGTGCCCACTAGAGCACATTGCTGTGAAGTTTTCCAGTTTTATAAAATGGAAATACAGAACAATTCTCCCTTCTTGCTTTGCTCAGAACTCAATCTAAAGCCCGTGAGAGTCAATGGAAAATCTTGAATGACTTCAAATATGCTTTTGAACAGCCCACAAAAGGTAAACCAGAGGGTGGATTTGAAGAAGTCCTAGTTTTGCATTTCTAGCAGGTAGTCAGCCAGCTGTTTCATCAATACAGCTCTTTGCTGCAGTTTAGCATAGCAATCTGCACACTGGGAAACACTGTCTTCATTCCACCTCTGGAATTATAGCACCAACTTTTCATCCACAAATGAACAGCAGACCTTTATTACACAGGTGTTACCTGTGTAACAAAGTCACATCTGGTAATGCTGGAAGCTTGGCAATGGATTCCACATTGCTGGAAGCAATTTTATTGCAAGCAATTAGCTTCCTTTTCCTTTTTCACAAAGGAATTTTCAACGCATTCTACACGGGGTGGGATCAGCCTGGCACAGAAGGGACTCTCCTGAATGGAGCATGTCCTCTCCTTGTGGAGGTGATGTGAGCACAGGGTGTGGGCATGCACGTGGGCCATGGTCCTTAGGGCAGTGCCAGTGAAGGAGCTGGAGGCTCTGTGAGACCTGAGGGTTAGGGAATCTTCTAGCTCTTCCTGCTGATCTTTGGTCCCATCCAAGATCTCTGGGGGAGGAAAGCTGCCCTCATCTCTCTGTTGTTGGCAACTACCTCTGATTCCAGGTGCCCCACATCCCAAAGGTAAGACAAGAGCGTTGTGAGAGGGCAGGTCATGACAGATTAGGCTCCATGACAAGGAACACGACACTACTGGACACACACCCCTCCTTTCTCCAGAGTCTACTCCTCCAATCCTACTATCCTTCCTTCTCAGTGTGTCTGCAGGCTGACCCTGCTCTCAACCAGCTCCCTGGCACCAGCTGAGCCATGTCTCAAGAGCAATCGCATCCCCTCGGCTGCCCCGGGGGTTCCTGGGTGCACATGGAAGCACACATTACCCAACAGGGCAGAAGCCCCTGCTGCCATGGCCTGCTGGGGGTAGTGGAAGGTGTACCTGTGGACTGGGTCCCAGTGAGGGGCAGGCTCTCCATGTCATCGTAAATGGCAACGATACTGATAGTGTACTCAGAACCTGGCCTGAGGCCATGCAGCTCAGCAGTGTCTTCTTCGCCCCCTGGGGCCGGCAATAGCTCATGGATTCCATCCTCAGGGCTTGAGTAGGTCACCCTGTACCTGGTGACTTGCCCCTGTGGGCTTTCCCAAGCAATTTTGATGGAATCAACATCCACGTCAGTGAATGTTAGTCCTTTAGGGCGGTCAATGTCTGTTAGGCAAATTAACGGTAAGAGGTTATGTGATAAAAAGCAGGTTGTGTGTGAGCAAAATAAAAAGCATTTCCATTACATGCAAAGCAGTTTTCAGTTTTGCGTGGCAAGGGGGTACTTGATTCTCCTCTGTGCTGCACCTTGCACACATGCTCACACCCATGAGGCTGAGTTTGGGGGCACCAGACAGCAGGAAGGCAATCTTGGCCTTGTTGAAACCAAAAGGACCTGTATTGCCACCTTCAAAGCAGCCAGGACACCAATCCTTACCTATTTTTGAGTCCCTTTGGCACCAAAACACCTTTTATACAAGTCTAACAGCATTAAGCTACCTTAAAGTGGACGAGAGTAAAAAAAGAAATGGGAATGTTCAGGCCCATTTCTCCCATGTAACTGGCTGTTAGTGCTAAAGGCAGCCAGAGAACCCACCTGACTAAGTTTGGGTTCATGCTGCACTGGCCTTTCACTGTTGCAAGCTGCTGTGCAAAGTGCCAGCCCAAGGAGAATCAGCCCCACTGTTTTTCTTTCATAAATTAATACCCAATTAACACACTAATCAAGAAAGCAAAATTACTCAGTCTATTATATTTTAAAATCAGTTGGGAACAAACTTTTCAGTTTTGTATTGAGTGCACAGGGAGTGAATGTCCACAGGTGCAGCTGGGTGCTAGGCACCCTTCCCAATTAGACCAATTAATCAGATTTTCCCAGCAAGGTGGGAATTCAGTGCTAGACAGCAGGGTAAGTGAGCTTTGTTCACAGAAGTCTGGAGTAGCTACCACAGAAATATACCCATTTGTTACACAAAATGGGAGGATCTGATATATTATTTTTATATTCGATCAAAATTATGCTTTTCTATAAGGTTTCAACTTCCTTATTTGCCATGTTGTATTAGTCTTCAATTTTCTACATTTTCTAGTTGGCAAAGGTGATTTTTGTCCAGGAATTTGTTGGTTTGAAATTGGTGTGGACTCTCTTCCCATCTCTGCAAGGCTATGGAGAAGCTCCTGTTGTCTTCAGGACAATTCTGTAACGTTTGGGGCTGAGTTATGGTTTTGACTACAAGCCTGAGAAAGGGACTAACATGCAGACAAATCCCTAGCCCAAAGGTGTCCCTAAAAAGGCACTTCACATCAGAGATATCCCTGAGTCACATGTTCGCTCCTGTGTCCTCTTTGGGACCAGAGCAGTTTCATCCAGGCAGACACAATAATTCCAGAACTGACCTGCCCTTTCCTCTGCAGTGCTTCATCCCAAGTTCTTGATAAAACTCATGGTTTCCCTTACTTCTTCACACAGGGCAAGTGCTGCCAAGCCCAGTCCAGTCCCTGAAGAGCAATCACCTTTGCCACCTAGCTCCTCAAAGGAGATCCTTGCACATTTTACCCACTGATTGGCTGATGGCAAACGAAACCCCAAAAGACTTCATGGCTTTAGTGAAAGAAAATCAGAAGCGCAGCATTTTGAGGGGGCAAGAAATTGCATTTTGCCAGTGCTTGAGGCAGAGGGACTGTGTTTGTGCCAGCATCTGCAACTTAAGTGCACAGTACTTCTCACAGGGCAGACCACCTTGAATTCTCCTGGAGAGCAGGCCCCTGCCTTTTGCTTTCCCTGGGACTGTGGTGCTGCATGGGAGGTTCAGACATTGACAGATAACACTTGTTTTGCTCCCATGAAGTGAAATACGTACTGGTGACAGCTGTCTCAACCAAGGGCAGGCTCTCCCCGTTCTGGTTCTGAGCGTAGACACTGACCATGTACTCCACTGTGGGCTGCAGACCTTCAATAGTGACCTGAGTTTGATCTGGCAGGAAAAAACAGCATTAGTCAGAAAGAACAGCAAAGAACTGCCCTCTAAGTAGCCTTGAATGATGAGCCTGTAAAAGCCATACCATGAATAAATGTCATTAAAACAAGACAGGATTGACAAACCAAATTTGCCTTCAGTTTGCACCATGCTGCTCTGAAGGGCACAGCAAAGCACCCGCTCAAAGGCCCCACAGCTGAAAGGGCAGGTTAGCACAGGAGGTACAACACAGCTTTCATCATCTTCCAGGATAAGACTGGCCATCACCCCAGCTGCATCACAAGCATCCCTGAGTGCTAACCTCTGCTGATCCCCCAAAATGCACTGTGTTCCCAAGAGCTGACCTGGCAGGCTCCACGGTAACGAGCTCAAGCCTGTAGTGTGTGTGACTGAGTCCATGCTACGACCAAGGGTCACGTTATGTGACCTTCAGAAGGATTTCAGAGGAAGCTTTGCTGGATGCTAGAAAATCCAATGGCATTTCTTTGAAATGCAGGTGCCTTTCAGAGACACTGAGATTGCCAAGAATAATCCCTTGCAGCCCAGTGGTGTCAAAGAAATATAAAGCTTTTGGGGCAAAAAGTCTGCCCTAGCTTCTTCTGAATGAGACCCAACTGAAGGCAGCAGGATGGCAAAAAAGCTACAAGCAGGAGAAAGATTTTAGTGTTCACCTCTTACATTCTTACAGATCTGGTGAAGGTGACATGCACTCTTACCTGCAGGGACGTTTTTAGTTTTTGTGGGCCCATGTCCTTTCTTGGGGACAGCTGTCACTCGATACCCTGTGACTGGGGATGTTGAAGGCTGCCACCTGATGCTGATGCTGTTGTCCTGGACGTCGGTGACTTGCAGCTGAGATGGTGTGTCTATTTCTAGGCAATAAAAATATTTTTTCTGAGTATGTTGGTAAAGGAAACCCTCCCCCCACTGTTGTCTCCTGGCTGAATTTTACTCTGCTCTTTTTTTTCTAGGCTGCACTTCTTAGAAAACACAGGTTGCTACTTATTTGTCTCTCATGCTAGCCCAGACCAAAAAAGCCTTAACCATGATGTGCAGGTGACTGACCTCGAATCAATATTAGTTGAGGATTTTTGCTGTTTTAAAGGCTACTAAATGCCTTTATCTGCAGCTACAGCAGGAGTAAGTTTAGGTTATATCTGAATGAGGAGTGAGGTGACAGTCTTGGAGTTAGAAAGTCAGGTCTCATCAGGATGACAGTGCATCAGAAGCACCAGTGTTAGGCCAGCAGTGACTCCATGATATGAAACCCCAACAGGATTCCCACTCTGCAGTGAGCAGTCAAACATTGCTTGTATCCCCATTTGGACTCCACAGGATCTCCCTCCTCCAAGCCCACGATCCCCTTCCGTGTCATGCCATTATCTTGGGCCACCAAGATCTGCAGCTCCACTGAAACTGATGGGCTCACAACACAGCCCGTGGCTTCTAAAAGAAACCAGGGATCAGCAACACATCTGGGGGGACAAGCCAACACAAAGCTGTAGGGTTTGGGGTTTTTTTGTGTCTTGTTTGGTTCAATGAGGTCTCACCTGTTTTGTAGGTGACAGTGACTGGCTTGCTGCTGGCAGGGCTGTCTCCACGGCCAGTTACAGCATACATAGTGATGGTATATTCCACACCAGGCTTGACACCATTGATGGTGGCAGTAGACATGGTACCAGGCACTGTAAACTCCTGCACAGGGCTGCTTCCACCTGGGGAAAAACAAATATAATCATTATAGAAAGCAGGACAATCCTGTATGCATCAAGTTGAAGGCAGGACTCTATTGATTTCAATGGTTGTTGGGTCAAATTGCTTTTCAGAGATCCCAAGGAAAAGAATGAAGTATGCATGCAGAACCACCTCTCAAATCACCAGAGTGCTCCTGATGCTCTTTCTTTTTGGTAGACAAAAAAATTATTTGCTCTTCTTCAGAAAAGACACCTCTGTGTCTGCTACAGCCAAAGTTGCCTTTGCTATTTGCTGTGGCTTTCTAAGGCCTCAGAACAGAGTTCCTGGTCCGTGCCTGGCTGTAGCTGCCTGCCCTCACCTGTTTCACCATACGTGATCCGGTAGTATCTCACTGTCACTGCAGGAGCATCCCAGGAAAGCACAAGGCTGGTTGGGCCAGCAGGGGCAACTTGCAAGTCCCTTGGAACATCAGACACTAGAAAAACAAGAGAATTGAAAGGAGAATTTAAACACAGTTTACATCAGCTACATACTCTACCCTACCGTGCTCCTCTGCTACTCATCTGTGTGCCTTTTTAGCCCTGTGCACACACACTGACAAGTGATGTATCTGGTTAAAAACCATCTGGCATTGGACCAGATGTAATGAAAATAGTTCTGCTAACTATTGGTCTGACTTGGTCTGAAAGTAGCATGGGTCCTCCCACCTTTTTATAAACCAGGCCCTACCTCAGCATCACATGCACTTCCTCGTGAGCTGAGTTTTACCAGCTGGTAGGAAAGATCTGGTTTAACAGCGACTCCTTCACTAGAGGACACTCAAACCCCTCACTGCAACTTTCAGGCAGCGTTCTCTCAAGCTCACCTGTGGTTTGCTGGCCGACTAGGGGCATGCCCTCCTCCCTGCCGTTGATGGCGATGACGCTGACCACGTACTCGGTGCCTGGCAGCAGGTTGGTGAGGGTGATGGAGTTCCGTGAGGGGGGCACACGGTCCTCCTTGGGCCTGCCACCGCCCTGCTCCGGCTGGTACCGGATCTTGTAGCCTGTGGTAGCGGCACGTGGAGCCATCCAGTGCACAGTGAAGGAGTTGGCAGTTATATCCGAGAAGTCAAGGCCAGTGGGGGAATCAAGACCTGCGTGTCGCAAAGAGACAAGAGACTGAGCTCCACGAGCTACTCGTCGTAATCACCACTGCCACGTTTCCTTAAGCTCTGTACCATGACACTGCCAGGTAAGGAACCAAATGCTATTCAGCTGTGGAACTAAACAAATATGTGTTCAGGATCCAAGTGAGATAAATAAGTGCTGGAATGCGACAGCAGGAAAAGCGTGTGTGGCACACACAGACAACACTGTGAAAAACAATGCACATGACCAGCAAAGTCTGCTACACAGTTATGGAACAAGACAGACTCGGTGACAGATACAACATGCTCTGCCTGGGCTTCTTCTCAGGGTACATTCACACCAGGGTCTACAATTTAAAAAACAATGGCAGTTATGGCTCTCAGATAGAAAACACAGAATTTCCTAGTGTTCCCCAAGATGTGCATCTGCACTGCTTTTGATGATTATCATTTGATGATCATCTAGCTGATGACCCATCAACAAGGTGGCAACACACAAAAGAGAGCTAAGAAGTCCCATTAATGAATTCTTAAAGGATGACATTAAGGATGTCCTGGGATGCATCCAAGTACCTGTTTTCTGGATTCCATAGAGAGGTGCACTCTCATGTTGCTCAGAAACACTGTAGACTCTCACCAGATACTCAGTACCAGGGAGCAGGTCTGTGGAATTTAAGAACAGGGATTTAGACATATTTCTTTGCTAATAACTACAAGTTGTTCAAACTACACAATTTTAACTGTATTTCTTAAGAGAGGTAATCAGGTTTTGCTTGATGGAAGATCTGAGCCTCCAGGCCAGTCAAAAATTTAAGCCAGTTATTTTTTTTGGTATTACAGTTGCCTGCAATGCTTTAGCCTGAGGGAGCATGGAATTCTGTATCATTGCTTCATCAGTTTGTGGAGACTGACTAGAAGCAACTTGTTTTCTACAAGATCCCATCTAGTTATCTTGTAGTTTAGTTATGCACCAGGCCAAAGCTTCAGCTGATATAAACTGGAATAGGGCCAAGGATTTTCAACACAGCTACTGGAACTCAGATGAACTCCAGATTTGGTCTCTTATTCTGAAAGTGGGTATTGTCTCTTGCTCAACCAACCTGATTCCAGGGCAAAGAAAAAAAAAAAAAGCCCAACTTTAAATACAACCAAAAATTAATGTCAGCTTTTTGAAAATGCCCGTGGTTTGTCGTCATGTCCTGTAAGGTTCCAAGCAATATGTATTTTCTGGTCTGAGCATACAAAGCCAAAAGGAGCAATGACCTTTTGCACATTCTGATCATCTCCCTGAACCTCTGCACGTCCTTGGCAAACCAGGTGAATAATATGTATTTACTCTTAATACCTAACCAGGCTGCAAATCAATGCAATTGCCCAATAGCCTGATTCATCACTGTCCTTGGATTGATAGGAAAAAGCTTTCCTGTGGTTTGGCTTTAACCTGAGTAAAGCAAGAGGCCAAAGCCCATTTAGTGTGAGTTTGTATGAGGCTACTCGAGACATCGGCTTAGACCAGCTGAGAATTTGGCCAGCTACACTTAGAGTAAGCAACTTTTCTTTTGCCTCCTCTTGTGTCATGTGGACCTTCACTCTCTACAACTCCTTGAAAGGAGGGGATAGCAAGGTGGGGGTTGGTCTCTTCTCCCAGGTAACAATACACAAGAAGAAAAGGCCTCAAGTCGCACCAGGGGAGGTCAAAGTTAGATATTAGGAAAAATTTCTTCACAGAAAGGTTGGTCAGGTGTGGAGTCACCATCCCTGGCAGTGTTCAGGGGTGTGTGGATATGGCACTTGGGGACACGGCTTGGTGGTGAGCATGGTGATGTTGGGTTCATGGTTTGACTCAATGGGGTCTTTCCCAGCCCTAAAAATTCTATGCTTTTATGAAAAGAGGCCTCTTATATTTGTTTGACTTACGTAGGTAACCCACTTACTTGTTAAGATCACCATGTTGTCTGAGGGTGAAACTGTCACTTCTGCAACGTCATCCTCCTTCTTGGCGGGTGAGTAGCGCACCAGGAAACTGCTCAGCACGATGGAAGTCGGGGGAGTCCAAGTCACTCTCATGGTATCAGGCCCCACGTTAGTGAAGCGGAGATCAGTGGGAGGAGGCACAGCTACACAGCAAAGAACAGATCTAGCTCAGTCCTCTGATTCATAACAGTTGATCAAGATGCACGTTCAGGGAATCACCACAGAAAGTATCTCATGCACAACAGACTACTGACTACTGCACCAGACTCATGCAGACAGACTTCTAGACTACACTTGGTTCCACTATGGTTAAGAGAAAAATGTGTCTGTACTACTGTCAGGCCGCTTTAACCTCTTGGCAATTCCTGATACCTTAAATATACCCCATGGGGCTAATTTGAAAACAAGGTAGCAAGTTTCAGTAATGTGCTTCTAGCAGCTGGATTTCATATCACAGATGTGGTGCCAAGAGAGGTTTAAAGTTGCCATACAGCAGCTTACAGATGGAAAAGTAATCTCATCTAGAATCCATACATGCACACACAGGAGAGGAGAGGGTATATCACTAATTTCCTATGACTCTACTTCTACTTGTGTTGAAGGATTTACAGCCTCAGGAATTTCAAACACATCAGGATTTCATGCAAGAACCAGTTTCCAGCTTGCCCTCTGCTCATGCACTATAGAGACCCTTGACAGTGTGGCACGGCTGTCACTGGCATGTCTTCAGGGAGTGGTGTCCATCTGCACCCCTTGGGGCATTGTGGAAAGAGTGAGGCCACTACAGAAATGGACTGCTGGAAGCCCAGACAGCTGGAGGGTGTGTCTGCTGATCTGCTCTGCCCTTTGGCACTCTTATTTTGGGGAATCGCAGTTTTAAAGGTTGGTGAACACACACAGGCTCCATTCCAGCTGGATCTTGGAAATCTGAAGAGCAGAAGGTGAATGAGCCTGGCAAGTCTGCAGCCATTCATGGGATTGAAATGCCTCAAATTCAGAAACTGAGCAGCACATACCCATCCCCAGCTGCCGTTTGGAGAAAGCAGCGAGCTGCGTCTGTCTGGCATCCCCACAGCGAGTGGCTCAACTCCTCTTTTGACAAAGCCCCACCATCCCAACAGCCAGTGCCAGCAGGGAACACCGCCCACGTCCCAAAACATGGAAGTTTTCAAGATTCACCCGTTTGCTGTGTCAGAGTGGTGGGGGCGCTCTCTCCGCCATTAATGAGTGTGATTACACTGATGTCGTAATCAATGCCCGGCTCCAGGCCTGTCACTGTGTAGTATCCTACTGAGGAGTCCACAAAATCTTCAAAAATAGGGACACTCTCTCCTGCTGCAACTACTGTGATGCGGTACCCGATAATGGTGGAGGCATTTAACGGGGTCCACCTCAGGCCGATGCTCGAGTCAGTTATGTCAACAAAGCTTAGGTCAGTGAGTTGGGGCACCTCTAATGAGTTAAAGAGCAAATGGGAAAGGCAGAGACACACAGAGGCAAAGAAAGACAAGGGAGAAAAAAGCAGTGTTCATCACTATTAACATTGACAGACCTTTGGAAGCAATTGAGGTGATATGCAGAATTTCTCTTGGGGGGGGAAAGGAGGATTTCTGGTGGGCTTTTAGGTTTTGGTGGTTTCGCTTTTTCCTTTTTTCATTTTGTCTTTTAATATTTACCCTTCAATGCAGTCTCCAGCTGCTTCCCTGGGCAAACCCTCAGATAATGTGCTTCCACTTTACAGAGATAACAATTTTCCAAAAGCCCTACAAGAGGCACTTAACTTGCAACAAATCTACTTTGAGCAATGATGAGCCATAAAGACCCAGCATTTTCTGATGAAAATAGAAACACAAAAAATATAGCCCCCTCCCTTTTTTTTTTTAAAGGTAGACTACGAGAGATCAAAGTCTATTAATATATAAATAAAACAACAACTCTGAAATAATAGTTGATTGACCCTCTAGAATTCTTGTCTTTTTCAAATGGTGAGTCTAACTTTTATCACTGGGGTCATAAAAATATCAACTTATTTGAAGGGGCTAAATCAGACTAAACCCTCAGCTAGGGAGAACCATCAAAGTTTCAGGGTAGATCATCCACTGTCTGAACCACTTACACTGGACTTGGAAAGAAAGCCTCAAACTCCTGTAATGGCTTGAGGATCTGGCTCAGAATTCCTCAAGTTCTACTTACCACTACCTGCTGCAATATCTGTGCTAAAAACAGATGATAGTGAACAGTGAGTAATAAAATACTTTCTTGGAAAGATGGTAAAATGGTTAAAAATGACCTTTAGACGATAAGAATCCTGTCAGTGACAACATCTCCATATTCAGAGGTTATGCCCAGCACATGCTGTGGCCAAGTGCCTGATATTGTTGGCTAAAGTGTTGAAAATCTCAGATCTGAGCCATTCAATAAGGATGCTCTTTAATTACCTTCCAGATACTGCCTAAATTTCTGTAGGGAAAACAAGCACAGCTGTGACTGTTTCCTCTATTGATATTACTATTATTAAAAGTGCTCATTTCCTGCATGTTAGGACCAACAGAACTGGGCAGGGAATTGGGCAGATGCATCTTTAATTGACAATGGCCAAACCCTCAGTTGCTCAAGTCAGAACATTGGTATTGATTTAAGCCACAGGATTTGGCTGTGTAACTTTAGCAAGGTGACCCTGTGGGAACTAATGGATGCTTTTCCTCAGGATCAGACACCAGTAGGTGAGTCAAAGATGCAGGACTTGGTATCCATCCTGTTGGATCATTTCAAGTTAGTTTGAAAAGGAATTATGAGACAGAAATATTGTTTTAATTGTATTGGTTATGTTCTATTTTAATGTCCTGCAAGGAAAATACTTATTTTACAGAATCAATGCAAAAAAATGCCAGTTTTCTGTAAGATCATGGTTTATCCACATGGAATGCATGTACCATATCACCTTTAAAGAGTGCTAAAAGCCAGAGACATACATTTTTAGCTTTCCCCCACCAGAAGATGGTGAAGGGCTAAAACTATTACTGCTTTAATTATGATGTATCACAGTATTAGTTCCCCCCTGGGGAGCACACAGCACTTCAGTGAAGCGTGGAAATTTTAAAGCAGTGTTATAAGAGCAAGCAAACACAGTAGCTGGCATCATTTCAGGGCTGAGCACAAACAAAAACACACAAAGCCCCTCACACAGGAAAATGACATGAAACCATTTGGGGAGATGCATTTTGCTACTATGGCTACAAAGGTGGTTTCTGCAGTCATCCCAGCACACCATGTGAGGTGGCACACACCACTCTGTGTCCCAGAAGTGCTACAGTGATGGACCTTTCAATCCTGGCTTTCCTCTCCATTGTGCTCAAGTGATTTTCTGTCACTATTGCTGCCAGAATTTCTCCTGTGCTTGCTTCCCACTCTGATCACCTACTTACTGTTCTCATCAGCTGTGCTCCAGATGCTGGGGCACTTCAGAGCTAAGTCAAGTTTCTGCTGCTCTCCAGCTCAGTGTAAGGATACACCAGATCCACCTCTTTGCCACCACCCTGTGACAGACAACCTAGGCTGCCCATGTAGAGAAGTAGAGGGGTGTAAGAACTGCTCTGTCACATGTTGGTACTTGGCTATTCTGCTTCTTGAGACTAAATGTAAAGCCCAAGCCCTCTGTCATCAGGCTAGGAGGAGTTGTGCATGCAGAGCTCTTGCGCTCAGCCACTGGACTTTGAGTAGCTAAACCTGCTGCTCATCCTTTCCTTACCTGGAGTGATGGTTTCAGAGATGGGGACACTCTCCTGGTCATCCTTGACTGAGTAGACACTGACATTGTACTCCACACCAGGGTTCAGGTTTTCAAAGGTGCAGGTGGTCTGATCTGCACCCACGACCTCCTCCAAGGTAGAGCCCTGCTGCCCGTTGGTGGGAGTGGTGGTCACACGGTACCCACTGATGCCTGAAACACAGAGAGGCCAGTGTGCAGTGACCTCCTGCTGAGCTCATTTGCATCAGGGCTCAGCACGACTGAGGCAAACACGTGACATTTTACAAGTAATTTTGCCACCCTGAGCCCAGCAGGCAAGAGGTTGCTTTGTCAGGCACCCCAAAATGAGCTTCCCAGGAGGCAGCCATGCCATTCTCACAGCATTTCAACTCCTCAGCAAACTGAAAGTCTCATGACTCATCAAGAAAAGGTTCAGCTACAGACAGAGAGGGGTTTTAAAAAGCTTTCAATCCTCCATTTGTGGAAGTCAATTGTACAGCTCCCATCAGCTACTGTGGGAGAAGAGTTTACCCTGAACACTGTCAGAACTTCCATACTTACTCTCAATAACACAAACTCATCTGTCACTTCCAAAATCTTTGTGGTACATTTCACTTTCCTTCCCTTGGGCTATTTTTAAACCCCTGGGGATATTTGAAGAGATCCTTCAAATCCTTAAAACAACTGAAATATCTGAACACATTCAAACTCCAAAATAATAAGTTACTGTCAGTGCAAAATGCTAATATCTAGAAGTATGTACAGTTTTCCTTAAATTCTTCAACAACACATTTTCCATTGAAGTCTCCTTACTGAACAGAGGAAGTGTTACCATTCTGCTACAACAGATTTGAGCATAGTGTGAGTTCACACAGTTACCTGGAGATGTGCTTCTATCCCAAGAGACAATCAGGATCCCGGTATCAGGACTGGACTTCAGGCGCAGTCTGGTTGGTGGAGCCAGTGCTGCAAGTGTTCAGACAGACAGGTCAGTGGCACACTGGGAATCACACCAGCTGCCTCAGCACCCCTTCTCCCCACATTACACCCTCACCCTTCGGAATTAGCTACAAATGTTCTCCTGAAGTTGTGGTCCTGCACGGCATGAGACAGTGCTACCACAACAGGAGGAAATGACTCCCATAAGACGGCCCGGGGAGCGCAGGGGAAGCAAGTGGAAGAGGGAGTAATGGTGGAAAAGCAAGTGTTCCGTACGTGTGGTCACTCTGCGGACGATGGGGGTCTCCCTCTCCTGGCCGTCCATCAGCACCGTGAGGCTGTAGGTGTATTCCACCCCGGGGGTCAGCCCGGAGATGACGATGCTGCCGGAGTCCGAGATCACCTCCCGCGGAGCCTCCCCGCCCTGGCTTGGGCGCACCCCCAGCTGCAGGGAAGCAACGTTTGCTTTTCAGTCTCAAATGCTCCTATCCCAGCTAACCATTAGCATCCTGACTTATCATCCCACACGAGCATCGTGGGCCCTAAAGCCACACACCAGCTGTTAATCCTGTAACGTGTGTTTCAGATGAACTTCACCTGAAGCCCCGTGATTGCACTGACCTCTGTCACCTAAACCCACACCATGTAAGCAGCAGGTCTTTTGCACCCCTTTCCCTTGTGCTCCAATCTTCACTGCAGTCCATAGGAAACTGCTTCAATCCGCCCTCCCCGCTACAATGAAGCAAGAGGAAAAAGAAACACAGGCCTTAGTTTCTCCTACCTTGAAACCAATCCTTGGGGCAGGTGTCCAGGTGATGACTATGGAAGTCTCAGTCACTTCTGTATTAAAAGGAGGAACAGAGCCAGCAGGCTGATCTGTGAAGGGAATTGGCAGAGTTGAAGTCTACATGCTATGATGGCTCAAAACAGTCAGAAAACCTGACTTACAGCAGCCCAAAGAGCTGGGGTATGTAATGATTGCTGAATTACAACACTTCTGAAAATCCAGGGATTTGAGAAGGATCTGACAGGTTATTTTTGTCTGCTGCTGGGCTTGATAGACATGGTATGCAAGTGGTCTGATCATAGGGACTGCTTTTGTTCCTGAGGAAAACGAAAATACTGAACTGGTTCTCATGATCCTCTATGCATCCAACCCCAAGAATTTGGGGATTATTGGTTTTTTTGGCACAATACATAAAGTGTTCCTAAAAAAATAGCTTTTTTTTCCCTTCACCCCCCATTTGCCTTCCAATCAGCAGAACCCTACACCCTTGTCTGCCAGCCAGCTGTCCCAGCAAGGACCATCCTAACCCTCACCAACATCTTCAGCTCTTTTGAAGTCAGCAGAAAGGGAGCTCAGAGTCAGGCTGAGGCATCTGTGGTCTCATTGATATCTGTCAGGAGCATCACATGGAATCCAAAGCCTTTGTGTATCCCAGAATCAGCCTAAATAACACCACTGAGTTTAGTCTGAAATGACCTTGTTCTTAGTGAAAAGACTTGGTTGATTAATTTACAGTCTTGAACTGGACTGATTTCATTCAGACAAGCCAGAATTTGAAGGTAATATTAACTTAAGATACCAAATCATATCCTAATAGAGAAATATCTCTAGATAAGACTGACTGTCAGCAAAAAGTATCTTGCCAATGTCAACAGTGTTATTCTGATTCAAAGTTTGAACCCTTATTTTTAGTTTCACATTGTTCTAAAAGAAACCACATTCTCTTTTGAAAAAAGGATGTGGTTCTGGGCTTGGATGGCTTTGAATTTTGTTAGTTTATACGATGGCATCGTCATTATTTAAACATTGAATCTATTTGTTCTTTCTAGAAGTATGTGTGGGTTCTTATAGGACTTCCTTTCCTCCCTGAATTTGCTCAATATTTCTTCCAAGCCAGCAGCACATGTACAGATGACTGAAATGTAAAAAAAATAAAAATAAAAAAATAAAAGGATAGAATGCCATGTTTGTGCCAGTTTGAGTAACTGCAGTTGAGCTGCCTTAGATGGTATGGTTGGGCTTGAGAAATGTCTGCTTTCAGCTTTATACAAATGACAGACTAATTATTCCTTGCCCATTTTAAGGGAGCTGTATGCTTTCCTTAACTCATCATGCCAAAAATTAAACAGTTAGAAAGAGCAAGTAAAATTCAATTTCTTTGACATTCAGCTAAATAAAAACTGAGGTACTAGTAGTTTTCCCTTTTTTTAATATAATCAGGAAAGCCAAAATATATTTTACTAAAAGCTTTTTGATGCAAATAACTCTTTTTCCTGCCAACTAGTTCAGAAAGAAGAATAAGGACTATTTCCCAAGCTGTTGTGCTGGAATGCTACTTCAAAAGGCTGCTTCTGTAAACCAATTCACAATAATAGCTGCTTTGAGCACAAGTTTTGAAGAAGGGCCATGGCATTACGTGTGTGTGTCACTCACAAGTTGTGAAGACTCCAGTCGCTCTGTCGCTTTGCAGGTCATCTTTAACTGCCACGAGGTACACGGTGTACTCGGTGCCAGGCTGCAGGTTCCTCAGGAGGTACTTGCTGGCAGAGGGTCCCACGTTGTAGGTCCTTGGCTGCCCTCCCCTCGTGGGACCTGCCGTCAGCCGGTAGCCCGTGATCACCGCCCGGGGCCGGGTCCACAGCACCAACACCGAGTGCTCCGTGGTGTTCAGGAACCTCAGGTTGGTGGGGGCATCAAGCTCTGGGGAAGGAAAAGAGGAACATCCCTCAGCTTTCCAGCTGGATCTCTACTTCACCCCCACTTCCAAAGCACGTCCACTCCCACGCACAAACCGCGGGGGTACAAGGAGGTTGGTGAGCCTGTGTTTGTGACTCACTGTGTGAGGGCAATAGGAGGGAACAGGGAAGGTGGGGACCTTGGGAGAGCTGGAAATGGAAGTGAAAGGACTCTATCCATGCCTCAATGCCAGCCAGTAACTCAGTGGGCCAGGCAGACCTGAGCATTCTGGGTTGCACTGGTTTGGGTCACTGCCATCCATGGCATCCCATGGGGAAGGCAGGCTGAGGAAAGACAGATGAACCCAAGCACACTTAGGAATTTCAGTAGTTTCTCATGAATGCTGAGCATTTTTTTAAAAATCAGCTCAGTTTAGACTTGTCAGCATAAGCACAGAAACCTAACTTTAGCCCTTTTCCATGAAAAAGATTTATTCTTTTAAACCCTTGCCCAGTCCTGTCGAAATCCCTTCCCAAAATAAACCACCCCTACTTTGTCATTTGAATGTCAAAATAAGTAATAGTCAGCAACTTCTTGCAGAAAACCAGTTCCTAGATCTACACAAAAACAACCACCCTGTGGAACTGAGCAAACAACAATTCCAAGCATGCTCATCTCTCCCATGGGACTCAGGGAACAGCTCTTACCAGGTTTCCTCCCCTTTTTATCACTGCCCCCGGGAAGCTGCTGAAGCTGGTAACCCACAGAACTATGTACACAAGAGGCTGATGCAGCAGAGCTCCATCAGCACCACTCTGGAGCCCAGTGACTGGCAGATGTCACTACCTTTGGCTGTGACAAGATGAGGCTCAGAAGGGAAAAACACCCAAGTAATTTGCCCCCACAGCAGGCAGGGTAGCACTGGCTGCAGCAAGGGATTTATGGTGTCCACATGGCAAGTTTTTCCACCTTTTCTACGTTCCAATCATATGCTGAAATTAAGAGCAGTGAGAAGAGGTTTCATCAATGCTCTTTTTTGATGGCAAATGCTTTTTTTTCTCTTCCAGAAGAGATAACATTTTGGGGATAAAAATTAATGTTTTCATCACTCTCTCAGTGGAGAGCAGTTTTTGTCCTTTTCGTTTTCTCCCCAGTTGTTTTCTCCAGGGAGGGCAAAGGAAGAGAGGACTTTTTTCTTCCACTATTTGAAAAAAACAAGGGAAATAGTTCTGAAAGAACAAGATGAGTGTGATACTCCTTAGGCCCATCTCTAGGTACTTAGATCTGTGCTAAGTCTCATCTATCAAGGATTGTATCTTCCCCCAGTGTGCAGCCTAAAGCCAGTTCCTTTCTGGACAGTTTAATTTGCCAGCTCTATCAGGCTTTTATCACTTCCTCTCCCCATAGTAAGGGAAAATGAGGAAGATTAAAAAGCCACACACACTCCGAGTTTATTTGTAGACTTTTTTCAACAGAAGGCCAAAAAGAGAATCACATTTACACCGTGGGAAGAGACTTCTGCTGCAGGGTTTTCCTTGGGAACCCTGAATGATTTCTGTTTCCCAGGACTTTCGATTACAGGATGCAATTTATGTGAATACTTTCTGAACTGTGGTTTAGGCAAAGCCGTTAAGCGGATGATCACAGCCTATGGAAAATGATCCCAGACATTTGTAACTAGCCCTGTGCTGTCTGAATTAAATGTCTCTCAGGTACACCTCTGTGTGGACTTTCAGAGGGGCTCTACACATCACCAAGGCTCCTCAAAACAGCCACAAAAAATTACAGATCCAACTGGGAACTGAGCCCTTCTTGTTCTAAACGCTTCCAAGGGAGTTCAGATTCTTAACTCACATCCTTGCTTCTGAAAGCCTTGATTGAAAGAGGAGGGAGAGTGTTCACACCATCTGTGTTACACTGAGATTAGATACCTATGTCAAAGGACAAACATAAGGATCCCTTTCTCCTTGCATAGCCAAGGGAAAGGTACTATTCATGGCTCATAACTTAACGGATATAAGGAAAGGATACTTTTCAAAGAGCATGGCTATATTCACAGATTATCCCATTTCCTTCCCTTCCCTCTCATCCTTGTAAGAGTCAGGCTAGGTCTGCCAAACTTTCTCTCATTTACTGAAAAGTGTCAGAACAGCAGCACATGCACATAGCTGAATTTTGGTTCTTTGAATAAAGCAATCCAGTCAAAGAACACCATAAACACTGAGTCACCCTTCTATTGCCCAATAAATAAGATCTGTTCAAATGAACCGTGGCCCAGGTTCTGTCTGATCGACTCCTTTTGGATCAAAAGGAGCCCAAACCCAGACTAAACTTTCCCTTTCATCTGAAAATCTCCATCTTCCTTGCCTGTGCAGGCAGAAGTGCTACTGCTGAGAGTGGAGCCAGATAGGTACATAGCTGTCAGAAGGGAGATAGGGATTTTCAGAGCAATCTCAGCAAGGCTCCTCAGCCATGCTGAAATCTGCCCTAAGGTATCCGCACACAGAAAAAAATAAAATTATAAAAATCACAGGCTGTGATCTATGCTGTAAAAGAACTGCAGGGCCCATCAATTCTCAGTCAGTAATAAAAAAGTTGAATTCCAGCCATACGAAATGGTTTTAAAGCGCCATGAGAGTTAAACTCCATTGGAAAGCCCTGGAGGAGGATAAATCTGCTGAAGAGATCATTGTTAGACTGACTGAATTCCCAGCCCTGTCATCCTACTTCTGGGATACCTCCTGGGCTATAACTGTTGCACTTCAAGTGCTCTGTTTATACATTTCTCTAAGCGACAGACAAATACGCACTTCAAAAGGCTGATAAAAGCACAAAGGAAAGACACTTACTGGTGGTTTGCTGCCCAGTCAAAGGTTTGCTCTCCCTGCCCTGGCTCACAGCAAAGATCTTAAAGAGGTAAGTGGTTCCTGGGAGCAGGTCAATGACTTCAGCAAAAGAGCTCCTGGTGATGGGCAGTCTCTGGCCGTGCTGGCCGGGCCGGTTGACAGGGATCACCTCCACTCGGTAGCCGGACACTTGGCTCTGCGGGGGGGTCCACATGATGGTGATCTTGATGTCAGAAACCTCCACAAACTGCAGATCTCTGGGGGAAGGAACTTCACCTGAAAAAAGAGGGATAGAACAGTGTCATAGGGAGTCAGTCCTTAGCCATTAGCAGAAGAAGCTACAGGTTTCCATGGAAGGCAGAAAAGTTAATTTTGATTGAACAATGGCTAGCCAAAGAATATTTACCAAACTGAGAAGGTGTGGTAACCTTACTGTAAACATGTCTACACACATTCCCAGACAATGTTCAAGCTGATGACAATTCCAAAGGTCACTACTTAGTTGTATTTTATGCCTTCATTCACAGAATGTACCTTGCTGTGACAGAAAGAGGAGTCAAAGACCAGAAGTAATATGCTACAGAACTTCAAGTATGTGCAGAACCAAAGCTCGAGGGGAAAAAAAAAATACTGCAGGGACTGGAAACAGTTACCTCCTTTTCAAATTAAAAGAGAGGGTTTTCAAAACCCACAGCATTTTCTGAGTGTCTATAATTAACTTAAAATCCATCTTTTATAATTAACAAATACAGGGGCTGATCTGGCCTTACTGTAGTCAGACAAAATGCAGTTCCCTCTGTGATGGTCCCCAGTACTGCACCCTTGAATTTTTATGCTTAGATTAAGTTTCTTCAGATTAGGACTGATACTGCTCTAAGGTTAACCAATGCACATTTGTGGAAGACACAGATGCCAAACCATAAAACCATTGAGCTGAGTTCATTCCTGGTAAATTCCCATTTGAAAACACATGCTTCCAACTTGCAGGACCATCAAATTCCACTGCTTACCACATCAGATCCCATTCTTTCACTATTCTTGCTTTTGGTTTGGCTATTCAGTCCAACTGGATACTTAGAGAACCCCAAAACCACTACTTTTTGAAACAGTGAGTGCCTGTAGTTGAGATTGTATGGTGTTGTTTTGGCACATCACTCAATGCTGAGGAATCTCCCATCCTCACTCACAGCAATGGAAAATAATGGATAGGACAGAAAGGAGAAGGATAAGTCAGGTGAGTTATTGGAATTTGTGTTGTGGTGTCCCAGTACATAACCTTGGATATCTGCAGGCCAAGTACTGAGGCAAAATGATACCCCAGGCTCTTCAGATGATCTCTTGGCAGAATTCCCCCTAAGATAACTTGGGAAACTGATCTCTTTTCTGCAGACAATGCAAGACCTGCCTGCAGTCTAATCCCTAGGAATTACAACCCTACTGATGCACAGTGGGGGGCTGTGTTAATAAGGAGTATGGATTTACTATAAAACTTCAATACCAGTGGAATTTACAATGAAAAAACACGAGGACAAACACATAATTGAGTTCACTTAAGCATTCATTTAGCTGCCAACAGAAAACTCAGTGTCTGATCTCCAGAACACAGGCATTACCTGTGCGTGGGACACCTGTGGTCTCCTGCTGGATGAAGATGGGAGTGCTCTCCTGGTTTTCCTCCACGGCATAGATGCTGATGTTGTACTGAACTCCCGGCATCAGGTCACTGAGCGTCACAGAGGTTGCAGTGTCGGGCAGGTTGAGCTCTGTGCTGCTGCCTTCCACAGAGGGGGTGTAGATAATTCTGTAGCCTAAAGCAAGAGAAATTGTAGTCCTCAGCACAATCAGTAAGCCAGCACAAAGAGTGCTGGAAATGAGGGCTAAACTGATCTCCCTACTGAGGTTTGATAAAAGCAGTCCTCAACTTCAGCAGGACCTGTGGCTTGTCCATGCTCACATCCCATCTACAGACCACACACTCATAACACCTTCCAAAGCATAATCTGACCTGGGTTAGGATATTTCTGAGGTTTAACATGTCAATTTAGGTCTGTACAGTTCTCATGCTTCCTATGGGATCTGGATGACAGATACAGATAGAAGGTCATGGGGTTTGCTTTTATTTAACACAAGTCCAGAAGGAATTATGTTGTATCCAGCCTCCTGAATTGCTTGATTCAGACACTGAAACCCAGCAAATGCTGAACTGCCCATGTGCTTTCCAGCTGGTCTCAGACTGGGCAGAATTCTGCACCAGCCCTTTGTCCCAGAGTTATACTTCAGTTTCTTTTCTACCTACATTTCAGATTCTACCAATAACGCAAAACAGGTGCACTCCAGTGGGACCAACCTGTGATGGGAGCCTGTGGTCTGCTCCAGCTGATGACAATTGATGTGTCATCCACACTTTCCACTGTGTGATCGGGAGGTGCATCGGGAGCTGTTTAAGGGAATAAACAGAGGAGAACAGCAAGTGTGAGGATAAGAGATAATGAAACATCATTGAGCAAACAGTGAAAACAGCTTTCAAAGTGCAGCAACATCCACCCACACATACCTGTAGTCTGTGAAGTAGACAGGATCAGATTCTGCTCTCCTTCTTCAGAGATCTGATAGACGTTAACAATGTACTTGCGACCAGGAAGCAAGTCGGGGATGTTGACAGAAGTGGCTGTGCTTGGAAGATCTAAGGAAGGCAGGAAAGAAAAATTTGCCTTAGCAATTCCATCTTCTTGCTTTCTCTCCAAATTAAATAATTGAGACCTCTGTTCTAATCTGGGCTGAATCACAGTCTTCCTGCAATAAAACAGCAGTTGTTCTGCACTGTGTCTTTGGTTCACCTCAGAAAAGCTGTGTGGAGAGTTGGGACAAGTCTCCTTACTCAGCAAGCAGCCACCACCTAGGACAGCAAGGCTTGATGTGTGACACGGCAGGGCAACTGGAGCAGCAGCCCCCTGCACACTGCTGGCACACAGCCATCTCAGCTGAGTACTCACTTCATACCCTGCCTGGTGTATTTTCAGTACAGAAATGTATGGAAAAACTTTCACATGAATAGGTTATGTGGAAAGACTGACTCATGAGCAAAGAAGAATGATATTATGAGAGCTGGTGAACTTCGCTCCCCGCTCCCTTCTCCCAGATGTCCACCTACGTGCCAGATGTAAAAATTCCCCATGAAGCAGCTCCTCACTGGCCAGACTGAAGCCAAGCATCTTAAGGGAAACTGGGAATTGCCTTTCAATTTGCCTGTAAACCTCTGTCTGTAGACAGATGAGCTCAGGAGCTGCTTCACAGCACAGCTCAGCTGTCTGGGCAGACAAGAAAGGTGGTGACAGCGCTGGCAGTCCCCATGTGAGCCAATTCTGCTCAGGAGTCCAAGCCTGAGGCTTCAGGGGAGCAACAGTCCAGGGAGAATTTTTAGGTCAGGGGATTACTGTTCTTTTTCTCACGTTGCTCTTCTGTCTCACTCATATCCCAATACCCATTATAACCTCAAATCCTTGTGAGATATTGCTATTACCATTGTTAAGACAGGAAAGTAGGAAAAAAGTTAAGATGAAATTACATGTGTTGACACAGGCTGCACAGTAGATATCGGAAAAAGGATTTCAATTCCTAGATCTGAGTCCAGTGACTTTAACCACCTTCCCAGCTCAGCTACACTGTCACATTATCAAAGATGAGGAAGATCAATCCAAAGAAAACAACTGATAGAGCAGACTGGAACAGACATCCATGAGACAACAAGCAGCCAAGAGGAGGCATTTGGGAAAGATTTCTCTGACCATTCTGGTGGAAGGAAAAAGGTATGGCAAAGGAAATTATCCAGGAGGCAGGTTCAGAAAACAGATTTGGTTCTCTTCTCATCTGCACTGCTGCTCACTTCAGGATGCTTTGGGAGCCAGTAACTCTACATGATTTCAAAATGAAAAAAGCCTGGACAAATTCATGGAGCTGAAAAAATAAATATATCTACCCACAGTTATTGCCAATCCACCTCTCCTAGCTCAGAGAGTTTTCCTTTGCAGGATCCTGGGACAGTATTCTGAGAGGGCTTTGCTCTATACTTGCCTTGTTCTCCTCCAGCCATTGATGGAGAGAGGACAATGAACTGAGTGAGTTTTTAATCTGAGCTGGTGCTGCCACTCCCGTATCCTAATGGAATCATTTGAAAGACAGCAAGATGCTCACTGTTTACACCAGCTGTACTGACTGTCACAAACCAGGCATGTGATGCACTGTTAGCAATGCTTTGCTCTGGCAGACTCAAGAGTGTCTCACCAAGATACTGCGGCTCATCGCCCTCCTCGCTCAGCTCGTACTCAACACGGAACCCAGAAACTGTGTCAGAAGCAGAAACCCAGGAGACAACAAAGCTGTTGGCTGTGATTTCAGTGACAGACTCTGATGTAGCAACCACAGGAGGAAGAAGAGTTGTCTCTCCTGAAACAGTGTTGCCTGCAAGAGAGAAGAGAGGTTTAATTAACCATCGCTACTTTTGTGTTAATGGGATGCACAAAGCAAGGATCTGGGTGAAGGAGATCAGGTTTTTCTGGATGGCCCCCGGTTCAACTCACTTGTCACTGCTGTGGTGCTGGTTGTGGTAAAATCGAAGCGAGTGACTTCTTTGTGGCCGTACTGCTGAACACTGATGAGCTGTCCTTCATATATCACACCGGGCTTCAGGCCTGAGATGGTGTAGGAGTTCTGGTAGCCAGGGATGGTGGCTTCCTTCCACTGCCTTCCAGAGTTTTTCTGCAAGAAGAGGGACACTCAAATAGTGAGAGACTCCCTAGCTGGCAAGCAGGGGAATCTAGTGACCTAATGTGCTGCACAGTTCCTAACCACTGTAATATTTAAACACAGGTATGACTTGAATGGCCCTAATGCACAGACAGAACCAAGTGAAACCGAGCTGAGAAAAGTATCCCAGGAAGCAGGACTAATGGCATTTTGGGAGGTTAGGTATTACAGTGGTAAACTTAAAACCAACCTAGCTTTGAACTTTTTCCTTTAAAAAGAGCATTTTTTGTAATATATATAAAGTTAACTCATTTCTTTATCAAAGTGCAGTAAGGGGTGAAGGAATGGCTGGAAAATATATATTTGAAGGCTGTTCACAATAACACTCTAAGCCACCATCTGAAAACAATATACAGAAAAGTTCTTCCCTTCTACCCTGTATTTGAACTCTATGGGAAGCCCTAAAATAATGCTCCATCCTCTGAGGTTTGTGTGCTTTAAAGTCCATTTCTTTCAGGCCTTCATCCAAGATACACTGAAGTCAGTAAAGAGACTTGAGTGCCTTGAATGGCTTTGGATCAGGGCCTTTATTGTTCTCTTAATAACAGGCAGCATGGAGGTACTAATGTTCTTAATCATTAAGTGGTCTTTTGTGAAGCTGCACTCAGGGGACCTGTAACACAACTCATCTACATTGGTTAAAGTGAATCATTCCTCAGATAGGAATGAAACACCCAGCAATGGTTAACCAGCTTTGGCTTACACTTTACAGAAGATGGGAGATGACTGTTTATTTAATCCTACACTAGCTGTTTATGTCTTCATATCCTACTCATCTTTACCTCCTCATTAATAGGATAAAATGTATTCCAGCTGTCTCTGGATATGCACATTACTAAAACAATGTTTCTTAGGATGAAGAAGCTTCCACAAGGATTTACATTCCTTAAGGTGAGGAAGAATATAAACTTGTCTGCTTGCTGTTCTAGTGCTTTGTTTAATAAGATACTTAACGAACACAGTGACCAGTAAAATTTGGGCAGGAAAACATTAAATGTTTATACAGCACTGGCTGTCTTTGATACTCCAGAGTAGCTGTTGACCTTGACAGGGTAAGGACACAGAATTAGCAAATCAAGTTTGCTGGAATTGTGTCAGTCACTATTTTCAGACACCAGAAAAAAAGCCAAATACAGTATTTTTGACCAACAAATGATGACAAATGTGGCCCTCACCGGTCTCCAGCGCAAGATGTACTTGGTGATGTGAGATCGTTCAGGAGCATTCCACTGGATGGGGTGGGAATTTGGCTGATTTGCACTCTCTGTGATGATCACCTGAACGGGCCCAGTTGAACCTGAAAGGAAGAATTGCAGTTTTTAACATACTGGGGATGTTCTTCTTCTGCCTTTGTTGTGGAGTCATGAAAAAGCAAGGAAGTTGCATGGCTCACATAGTATTGCTATACCTGGGAAATGTGTTACATTGTCGTCGTATCCCTAATGCTTCACTGCTCCTTAGAAAAATGAGGAATTAGAATATATTCTGAGGGGGAGTTTAACATGCCCTGTTTGACTTAATTTCCTGTGAGTTATGAATAAAATAGAAAATGAGAGGTCCAGTATAGAATAAGCCTGCAAAGCAAAGTCACATTGTTCAAAGAGAGGGAGGGAACTGCTTTTATCAGTTAATATCTTCTGCAATGGGAGCAGGGAAGCTGATGAGAAATGTCTGCCAAACCCAAATCTAATCTTGCAGCATGGTTAGGGAAAATTCCTGATCTGACCTTGAATACAACCTGGAAAAGTAGATTTCTTTATCAGTTGATTTGAACCACTAATTTTGTGACTCTGTGGAGCACTCCACAGATAGTGAGGTTTGTCTTCTGCACAAAAATCCCACCAGAAGGGTTGGTGGTAGTCTTGAGACAAGTCAGGCCCAGGATCTCATGAAAATACAAGTTCAGCAGTGCTCTAATGCTTAAGACTATTTTAGCCAGACCAGGCTCAGGCATATTTTCTGCACAAAGCTCTCCAGTGGAGAAGGAAAGGTTTAATGATCCCATGGTTCTCCTTTCAGTCCCTCCCAGCCCCGCTGGGGAGGTTTCACTGAACACACAGTAGCACTGTCCTCACGTTAGTTCTCAGAAAATCCCAGCAAAGAGATCCCTGGAATCTGCAGAAAAGTGTTTTAGCCATTAAATACCTTCACCCTCCCCTCATTCCCGACATTTCTAATAATAATTTATTTGGACAACCACGTAACATACATAACTGCTCCATATTTAACAGGACTTCTAGGCAAACAAACCTGTGCCCACAGGCAGAAGATTTCAAAGCTCACCTAACCCCAAGACTACACTCAGAAACATTAGATTTGGGTTATTTACACATTTTCAGTCCCTCTTGTGTCTAAAGCAGCCCAAAGTCCTGGTCTCCAGGCTGGAGGCATGCATATTTCACATAGCTTAGGCAGATGTTTGTTTAAGCACTCTGACAGAAGTCAATGAAGCTCAGCAAGCCTTAATATTTCATCTTATTCAGAGGAAGACAGTGGCAGTTGCAACCTTAAACAGGAAAGTAGAGAGGTTCCCCTTATCATGTTCTGTTCAGGGAACTGAAGCTGAACAACCAACAAACAGGCATTGCCCATACCTATGAAGAGTTCCTGGAACTGCCTGGACAAACAAGAGTTCAAATATTTAGTTTCTTTGGGGAACTGATCAGGCAAAATGTTTCATTCTGTGATGGATTCTGCTTCTGTAGTGAGTGGCAGAGGAAGGACTACACATGCATGATTTTTAAGCAATATCAACTGAAGATCACACATGTGATATCACTAAATACCAAGAGGAACATAAACCCAAGTTGCTGTGTGAACCAACAGCGATTCTCTAATGTAATCCTGGCTTCAGGAATAGCTGCAAACAGCCTGGCCCTCTCTTTATAATCATGACATCTGCTTGTGTCTGCCAGGGGGTGGGGGGAAATTGGCTCTCTTTGAAAAGGAAACCAAAAGGCATAATGCACAGAAACCTGAAGAGGTGAGGGGTGCCAAGTTTGCCTTCCTCACGTCTCATTGAGCAGAAAGGTTCATCATCTGTGGGGTTCCTTACCTGGGTAGGTCTGCAGAGGCTGGCAGTGCCATTCCCCAATCCCACGCCCATAGCAGTAGCACTGGTATCTGACCCCATGGACGTACTTCTCCCAGGAATCTCCGATTTGGTAGAAGGTCCGGGTTTCTGAATCCTGGCACTGGTCTAAAGGCACAAAAGAGACAGTTATCCCTTCATGTTGCAGAAACTACAGTGAAAAATCCATGCTGAACACAGAAGAGTAAGTGACAAGAGACCTGTATACAAAGAAATACAACACCAATGTTTATTTGCAGATATAGTGACGTAAAGAGAAAGGAGCCAGAGAAACTAAATCTCAAATCAAGGTTCTTGATATATCACTGCATGCATTCAGTTAGAGCTTAGGCAGCTAATTCAGCTGTGATCCATGTGTTAAGATACTGTTAATTCCAGGCTGTCCCCCTGGCAAGCTTCCCAGGCAAGTCAATGGGGTGTTCCTTCAAGAAAGAATTTTATCTTCTGTGGATCCCAATTCTGCTCTGGTCAGGCAAGTTCATTTCTCATCCAAAGCTAAACCATCCTGCTCTCAAGGAGATCAATGGCAAAATTCCTCCTGGCTTCAGCAGAATTTAGTTTTACTTTAGAAGTCCTGTGAACTTTCAGCAGAATCTTTCCAGATTTATCATTGTATAAACCAAAGGAGGACAGATCAGATCCCAAAATCAGCTTAACTAGTGTAAATACAACACAGTATCAGCACTGCAGTACACCTTCTAGTCTGACAACTGCCTGTGTTCCTGGCCCAATGGAAATTTTCAGTGAAAACTAGCATTATGCCTGCTTGGATAAACAGGAGCCTTATTTAGAGAGCCAACAAAATTAAAATTTTGATTGTACCTTTACGGATGGCTGAACTTTCCCCTCCCTTTCTTTCAAACTAGTAATTTTCAGGAGCTTTACAATCCAAGTTCCTTCAGTAAACATGGACAGGTATTACTGTAAATAAAGCAGAACTTCACCACTAGTAATTTCTAATAGATTTTCTTGGCAATACTTTGAAGGTCTCTTAGATTTAGTAATTGCAAACCAAACTACCAGGTCTTATCTTCCAATCAAGGAAGGGGAGGGAGGCAGAAGAGATGAAATCTCATTCTTGCAGAGAACCAGGATGGTTTTGGAAACCTCCAGAGTGCTGCTAACACGTGTTCTCATCTTGAGCTTTCTCTCTCTGCCAGAACAAAGGGCAGCCAAAAAACTCAATTCAGTCCGAGGTAAGTTAATATACACTGGTGTTCCTTCCTCAGTTCACTGAGAAAACTCCTAAAGATTTTAGGATAAAGGAAAGAAAACTGATCCTATCGTCAGTGCCCAGCTCCAAGTTGTTTTATCAGTGTTCAGTCTCAGAGCCCTGTCAGCTAAAATGACAGCTTAGGTACCAGAATTCAGCCAAATCACCACAGCCAGGGACTAAACCTGCCTCACTACCACAAGCTGCTACATTTTAAGACACATGTTGCCACACTCTATTACTATTGCATCAGTAACTTCTTCTGTGGCATGTGTGATAACCCAATCTTACCTCCTTAAAATTCCAAATGCCCTTCCCACTTATCCTCCAGCAAATCTAACATTAATTCTGTTTTTTTGCAGTTGTGGAATTCAAGCCAAAGTGGGCAAAGACTGGGCCCAAATTCACACACCAGTTTCACCATCCCACAACCAGATTCTACACAGCCACAGAGTGTGTTTGGCAAGTGGGAAGAGCTGGTGACTTACCAACAGGGTCACATTTCCATCTGCCCCGGCCCTGGCCAAAGCACGTGCAGTTCAGCATGTGCCCCTCATCGTGGCGCTTGTGGAAGGTCTGGTTCACATCGTAGGTGATGCCGTCCACGATGCACTGGTCTGTGGGACAGACAGCAGAGTTTGTCAGCAATAGCTCTAAGTGTTAGGACAGAATCCTTCTGCTTGGCAGGTGGTTCCCTCTGCTTGATCAGTGCACAGACACTGACCATGACAAGCTCCACTCAAGCAAAAGGCAGCCCTCCTGAAATCTGTGACCATCACAGGTCAGCGCTGCATCCACACCACTGCTCCTGAGTTCAGTTATCGGCAGTGTGCAAACAAGCAACACCTGCAGAAAAGAGGTCTGTAGGATGCAATCTGAAGTACTCCAACTACAGAATTGCCTTGTTCTTTTTCACAGATTCCACGTGTGAAAGACAATCTAAGCCAGCACACTGACTCTCCAACTACCTCCTCTGGGGAAGGTCTCGACTGAAACACCTCAGTGAGTACTGTCTCAAATCATTGGAACTACACAAGGAGAACGGGTCTTCTTCCAATTCATGAAGATAGCATGAAGAAGTACAAGCATTCTCATGATGTTATTCTCTTGGGTATCTCTGCTCCACTTTGTAGGAATCTGAAGGCAGGAGCAGATCTATTACACACACAAGATGCTACTGGTGCCTATTACTCTGCTGCTCTTTCAAAATCCAGTAACCAGACCCCCTGCTTAAGTACAATGGTATCAATCTATGAGGTTCAATGTCAATCTAGGATCTGGCCCAGAACTCCTAACTCCAGTCTAATCACAGCAGGAGCAGAAAGTCAAAACAAACATGAAAACCACCCCAGAAGTATGTTGTTTTGTTAACAGGGACCCAAGAGACCCAAGTTCAGTTCCGGAGTCAATCCCAGACCATCTGTCCTTGGGGAAGCGACTCCAGGCTTTCATTCCCCATCATACTTTCCCACACCACGGGCACAGCATCAGGATAAACCAAGGAGTGCTCAGACTCTCCTGCGGGCACCAAGGTCTGGCTGCTGTGTTTAAACAGCTCTACTTAGATAACCTTTGCCTCTTGAAAAAACAAAGCATCTCTACTCTCCTCATCAAGAAAGACCCCTTTAACTCCAGAATGAAACTGCAGAGAACCAGCTGCATAAGTGGAAAAAGGAGTTCCACGGAACAGAACTTTGAGCAGTGCCTTTCCCACTGTTCTGAAGGAAACACATTTAAAAAAATCCCTTCCAAAGCCCTTGGGTGAGCCTTTCCCTATAAATTATATCCCATTTCAGCAGTGGTGTTAAGAGTCCTTTCTTGGCTGTTTGACAGCAACCCCCCTGCCTTTTCCAGACATGAAGCCAATGCTGTGAGCTAGCTGTAGGATGATCAAATGTCTGTGCTTTTAAGTCTTCTTTTTTTGGTACTGCTTAAGCACTTCTCCACTTGGACCACTCATACAAATAAGTAAATAAGAGCAATCTCAGTGCTTTCCTGTCAACTTTTCATACAGATTAGCCAGCAAAGGGCTAATCTAGCACAAAGGAATTGAAAATTTCACGGCAGAACAATAAAACAGAACGGCTCTGCGTTCAAACTTCAGACTAGTCTGGAGTTTTGTCTGTTCTTGAAAGGGGGAGGTGCTTCTACTGAGCTCTCCATAAAGTCACAGCAATGCCAATTCTTAAATGTAGACAAAAGAAGGAAGGGATATCTACTGATCAAGCTAATCAAGGTTTGTCTCTACTTGCTAGTCTGCAAAGGTTGGAATTTACTTTTCCAGTGCATAAACACAGCAGGAATTTCACAGCTCCTCTAATTCCCTTCCTTCTCAAAAGAGAAGCTCGATAATACACAGTTCTTGAGCAAGGGCTCAAACTCAGAACCATGGAAAAGAACACCCATTTCTCCCACCACCCCCCTTAGACTAAAGTGGTGATACCATCGTGCAAGTCAGTACCTCTGAGCTGGGAATAGGCAATGCAGGTCCACTCTCCACGGCCATTTCCAACACAAGTACATCTCATCATGTGGCCCATGTCGTGCTGCTTGTCCCACTGGTCCCCAACACGGTACATGACACCATCATTGGTCGTGCAGATTTCTTCATGGGCTGGGTGAGAAGAAAGCAACAGGATACTTTACATGGCAAGAATTAACAAGATCTTGAGGGCTGAGACCATCTGCAATGCCCCTTCACACCATGTAGTGGTTTCTGCATCTTAACAAGGAAGCTTTAGGTACCCCCTCAATATGGAATAGCTGGGTGATGACAGTGTCTAAGTGGAGACCCCTTGCAGGAGACTCCTGATTCATCTTAATTCTTATTTGGAAGTTACTAGAAATAGCTCCTGTACCATGTCCAAGGGGTGCCATGTGAAAGAATCAGTTCTTGTTCCACACATGCCTTTCTAAGAACTCAGCCATTTGAAGACCTGTGTGTTCCACAAGCTGCTTAAGGACTCAGATTCTACATTACATCAGTTACCAAAGGCCTTTCATTCCAGAATTGGTAGTCACATTCCCTCTCACATGTCCCCTGCTGACATCATGGAGATGAGCATGGAGGGTCAGAATGGACCACAGCCTTTTGACATTATTACACTGATATTACAATTCCAGACTTACTCCTAACCACAGGTCAGGCAAGAGGAAGTGGTGAGCTGTGAGGGAAAAGCTTTGGCAGACGCCAGATAAAAACCTCACTTGCACAAAGCACTGCAGTCCAATCCCCTCGTGGCTCTCAGCCTTACCAGCCATGGGGCAGAACCCAAACTTCTGGTCGGCATCGTAGTTCTCGGTGGTCCCACACCACTTCATGTTGTCCCTCCGTCCCTCCGATGTGCAGTCGGTGTAGTTGCGGTTGTTGTACAGGAAGGGGAAGTGGCACAGAGCACCATTGGAGTTGCCACCCCGTGTTTGCACCAGAACTGTACAAAAGTGAAAAGAAAACAGCTGCAGAGGAGGCCTGCACTCTCCCCTTGCAGGCATAGGAGAACTTGGAAAAAAAAAAGCCACCAGCATTATTTTTTCCCACGTGCACCCTGTGTATTATCCACAGGCCTCTTTTCTTGGCTTTAATTAATTCAGATCTGGAAACATAAGCCTTGCACAAGGTCAGTTCAGTTCAAGCATTGCTTCGGAAGGAGCTGCAGAGTCAGCCATGGGAATTCCTGGGGACCAGGGAAAACCAAAGCTTACTGTGTTTGGGAAGCAGCTTTGCAGACGCTTTATCCCAAGGCCTAGGAAATGAAATGAACTCACCGTTCCCAGCACACCTGTATTACCTCACTGAGGCTATTTCCCTTGGGCTCTGAGGAAAATCTCTGCCCTCAGGGAAGGGTTACAGTTCAGTTTTGTACAACAGGACAGGCCAAAACCTCTCTGCAGGCTGGAAGCTTCATGTTTTGCAAGCAGCAGTGGAAAGAGGGCTGCAATCTACCTGAACTAATCACCTCTTGGGCAACTCTGCTTTACAAATAACGGGAAACAAGGAGGCATTTACTGAGGTCTTTCTATATTGACATTTCTCTTCTCCCACAGTGTACCACAAGCAGCCTCACTAAAACAAGTATGTGTGTGTGGACAGAGTTTTTTGTGTGTGGACAGAGACAGTGATTTTTGGGTTTTCGTTGTTTGCGTGGTTTGTTTGTTTTTTAAAAAAACAAAGAATATTATATGTGCTGCAGAGAAAGGCCTGACTTTTATCAGGAAAAAAAAACCAACTGAAGCAGAACAGAATTTTAAAAAAAAGGACTGTGCAGTATAAGCAGCAGCATTTTCATGTGGCAACATGACAAATTCTATCCCGGGGCAGACCCCAGAGAAGCTGCCTGGACACTGTTCCATGGATGCCTGACAGGCTTTCCAGGAAGTGCAACCACACAGGTAGATCTGTGTTGGGAAGGGAACGCTGACCATGCACAGGCAAGAGGGAATGCTGCTGCATTAGTCATGCCCCAGCTCTTGATCAGAGACCACAAATCACATTAAGATCACTGCTATATATGGCAGCCTGGCTAGATAGCCAGGATGGAGGGAGTGACAGGACTGCACAGACTGTACTCCATGGTTATCCTCCTCTTCACAGCCTAATATGGGCATTGCCCTAAGCAAGTCATTCAAACAAAGCCAAAGTCCTTTAGACCAAAGCTCCACCCTGACCAGGTACTCCTGTTCTAAGGTCAGCTCAGAGAAGAGAGAACAGGACTCAAAAGGTACATCTGTAGCACCCTGACCACCCTCCAAAGATGCCAAGAGCACACAAGTGCTCTGTCATCAGGCAGCCTTCATTCACAGCACTGCCCTGCTGTGAGGCATGCACAGAGTCCCTCCAGACTGCTGGAATGGGTCAGGCAGCCTGTTCCTATTTTCTCTGCTCCTTCCTCCATCTCTACACAAGGGTCATGTGCATGTGAAGTTCCTCTGAGAAGCACTTACCATTCTGCTCAGTGCAGAAGGAGTATCTCCTGTCCTGCTCGAAGTTGGAGGTGGTGCTGCACCAGAGGTGCCCATCTGTGCGGCCTTCGGTGGTGCAGGAATAGAAGGTCCTTCCATCGTAGGTGAAAGGCAGAACACAGGGCTCTCCATCAGAATTGCCACCATACGTCTGGGTCACAGCTTTAAAACAAGCAAATCACAGCATTAGACTCTGGTTTAAAGTAATCCCCAAATCTCAGGGCTCTAAAACAGCAACAGCCCCTCTAGGCCAAGTCACTGGCTGCTGGGAACCCACACTGACTGCCATGGACCTGGGCCAACACACACCAACAGACAGCTTAACCCCACAGCTGTGTCATTCTTTTACATTCTTTTCTGAACATATATTATTGCAGCTCCATTTGAATAAAGTTATTAATGCTGCTCCCCAAGGGCTCTGTTTTCCCTCAGAAAGTTATATATAACTCAATGGGAAACATTACTGCCCCAGAGAACCAGGCTTTAGATAACCAAACCAACCATTTCTTCACCCCAGCACCTTTCTCCAGTATTTCTTCAGATGACATTTCTAATACACACACAAAAGAGTCTACTTCAAAATTAAGCCACAGGGCAGTCCTAAAGCCCTCACTGGGCTGGACAGGCTCCAAACACAAAGTCATACCTATCTCCTGGCAGCTGACTCCGTTGCCCAGGCAGGTGCAGAGCATTTGCTGGCTGCCCTGTGTCTTGAGCCACTGCATCCCCACAGAGTAGACCACCCCGTTGTCAGTGATGCACTGCCCGTAGGGCTGAGGTTGGGGCTGCTGGGGCTGGGGCTGGTACAGCGCGGTCTGCACGTTCGTGAAGCTGGGAGAGCCAGATCCTGCAGGACACGGGAGAGAAGGGAGAGCTGGGATGTAAAGCTGCAGAACAGAACGCTTGAGTTAAACGCTGGGGGAAAAAAAAAAACCTCAGGCACTCCGTCAAATGGAAGGCACAACTCTCTTGGTGTCCCGAGACACATTCTAATTATTCCACTTAGCAAACTTCAAAATATATAGAATAATGACTCCCCTTTCTGTCACTGATAGCCTCTAGTTTCCAACACTGTGGAGTGGCCTCAGAGAGGATTTAGAAAATGCTTTTCGCAGGAATTGTTTAGAAGTCTTTTATTTTTGGGAAAAAAAAATGAGCTGAAGGAAATGTAAAATAGAAAAACCTAGATCAGTGACAAGACAAAAAAAATTACCATGAAAGTAGGAAGGTAAGGCAAAAAGGATTAATTTTGAATTTTTCATTGAAAAAAACCCCAAACTACAAATGTATTCATTTACTCTGGAATTTTTAAGCTTTGTCTCTCACTATTATTACAAATAACATGCCAAAAACTTTTAGTCAAAGAGGCCTGTTGTCTACATCATGTAAATTTTTGTTAATGATTCCCACAGGAACCTCCACAAATTCAGCTCTGCTGGAATAGGGGAAATAATAATGGAAGCAAAACACTGGCACCCTTGAAGAGTTGTGCATTGTGAAGTTTAGACCTTATGAGAGTCTGAAGTTAACCTGCAGGTACCAAACAGCTAAAGGTCATTTACCAAGAGAAATTTAGTGCAGGTATTGCAGGAAAAAAGAAGTCTTACACTGCAGTCACTGATAAGAAACCTAGATACTTAAAATGACCAAAAAAAAGAATTTAGAAGCTGAACACTTAAACCTTGGGCACAAAAAATATGCTATCTATAAACTAGGTAATATTTCATACCAAAATTACAAACTATCTCATGTACATGTATCAAATAGCATTGTATACATTCCTTGACATTTTTTGGTTTTTAAAGCTCAGCCATTAGTAGGTGTATTTATCATGTCAAAGAAACCAGATGGTCTCTGGGATTTAAATTAAAGACATTTCAGGAAAGCTACCCTGAGGCGAATACATAAAGTTCAAATATTAACTTGGAGTGCCATGCTTCCAAGACAAAGATAGTTCCTGTGGATGCAGGGCCCTAGCTGTGATTTACTGCACTGTGATCGTGCAGGGAATCCCATCTGCACGTGCAAGACCCATTTGTGCACAAAAACACGGTAAGAATTAATCTTGTCTCCACACACACAAACAAGGAGCACCTCCTGAACTCTGATCCTCTTTTTTACTGACCTTTTCCAGACAATTACATACCTAAATCAGGATGGAACAACTCAGCTCCAGGTCCCAGCCATTCAAAAGGTGCCATTCCCTGCCCCTTTCCCTACGTTACATGCCATGATGCCCCACTTACCAGTGCTGGTTGTGTGCAGGGACGTGTGCCTTTCACATTTCCACTCCCCTCTGCCGTTCCCGGTGCAGACGCACTGAAGCAGGTTTCCACGGTTATCCTTCTTGCTCCAGTTGTCTCCAATTCTGTAGGAAGTCTTGGTGTCGTGGTCATTGCACCGATCTGTGTAAGGAATATGCCTGTTAGCTGTGTCTGCACGGGATGGATTCACCAGGCAGCTTCTGGCACTGAACCACCCACACTATCGAATGAGCGGGAGTTTCTAAAAACCCACCGCATTTTCTGTAGCCCTCTATTGCAAGCTCTTGATGCACTAAAGCCTGCTCTAAACTGCATAGGCTGAGAGCATCTGAAAATCCTGGTGCTTTAGCCCAGGGGAAATCTCCCATTTATTTCCAGAACTGCACTTTCACTTTGTAGTCATTGTCAAAATGAGCATCATAACATTCCCAGTGAGAACATGGTAAGCTGTGTTCAAAATCAATGTGAAAAACCATGTACTATATTGAAAACATTCCTGATAGTTATTTAAAAGCCATTTTAAACCCGTTCTGTCTAGCATACACCTTTAAAGCCTAAACTTGTTTTAATGTCCTTGCACTCTTCCTTTTTGTGTTGTTGTTTTTGAAAACAGAAGTGTTTCAGCTGGGTCATTTCATACTATACATAATTCAGGGCTCTCTTTCAGCTGGAAGAAACTAAAACCTGTTTGAGGGCAGTATGTTAAATTCCATTTCTTCCAAAAGAAGTATGCATGAAGCTGAAGTAAGGTTAATATAAGCTGCTCATGCCACACCAGAATACCAGACTTCCTAAATCTTCCTGTTGTCTCTAATAACCCACAGCCTCCAATGAATTGAGTAAATGGGTTCAAAGGACAGTGTAACAAACTACTTTTGTCTGGATGCCAGATCCACATGGATTAACTAGTTCTTCTTCCATTACAACATTTTACCTACTCGTTCAAGGGAAACTTGATACAGTGGCTCAAATATAATCATGGATCAATGAACATGGATTTATGAAGAACTGTGGAAGGACATATGCATTAAGTCAGATTGCTGAGAGAGCACACAGGACAGAATATGAATGTAGAAAATATGTTAGTAATTTGCAGTGCTAAAGTGACCAAAAATTGAGTATTTGCCAGAAGAATGGTAAATTGGTAAGATATTCCTCACCAATTTCATTTATTCAGATATTCCTCATGATGTCATTTAGCAAATGTGAAAAAAACCTGTCTTAAGGACACTCTTCTCAAGTTAGACAATGAAAAGCTGAAATGTCTTCCAAGAAACCAGCTGTGATTCTGGAAAATGCTGGCCATAAAAGATAAACAGCAGCAGCATACACTGAAGTGTAATGCCACTTTGTGGGCTACAGGTATCATTTTACACACATAAATTTGAATTTCTCTATTTGATTGCAATTGGAAAACAAAATGAAAAATGAACAGGTCATTATACTGCAATTTCCACTACAATACAACAGGGCAGACCTGAGTTATGGGAAGAAAGCTACTGCCAAATACATTTTATTAGTAATAATAACTCCTCCAAAATTCACAAACAACGCACTCTGTTTTATTCATTCCCATTTGACAGGTAATGATTTTTTCCCCATGTGTTTTTAACAGATTTAATATTGTCAAGGCTGGTTTGATTTTTATAGCTTATTTCTCAACCAAGTCTCTCCAGATCTTCAGTATTAATCCCAACCCTCCTCAGTGTTTTAGTTCTTTACAGGTCTGCTGTTTCTATCAGCAGAAAGCCATTATTTGTATACCTTGAGGCAACTGAATATGAGGCAATTGAAAGGCTACAGAGGAGTTTCTCAAACTTTGCATAACCAAGGTATAAGGTACAAAGTTAAATTTTCTTGAGACAACTGGTATAAAACAGAGATAGCTCCGCTACAGAGCTTGCTCCTAACAGAACTGGAACAGAAGGTCAATAAACAAGCAAGATTTGGGATTTTAAAAGCCCTGTTTGCTTTGCAAATACAAATATAGTGGAATATTTACAGTAATGTTCCTCAGTGATGCAAAAAGTGGGGGGGGGAGCAGGAATCACCTGTGCTGCAAACAGGGGAGGGAGGAGAACTGACAGATGAAAGGTTAGGGCAGACAAAACAAACCCTGGTTTAGCCAACACGAATCAAACAGTAACAGAGAAAAAAAATACACTATTTTAATCTGGCAGATTGTGCTGATGGAACAGGAATGGAATCTTTAAAAGCACCCAACTGTCCCTCAGGAGGCTCCTTAAAAACACAGAAATGGAGCTAACAGGTAAACCCTCCGCCATTTTGTGGTTCGCCCAACTTCCTGGGAGATGCCTGACTGCGACTCAGCTGACACACACGTTCCTTAAACATTTCCCTCTAAATGAGATGAAACGCCCAAATAATCCAGCCACCCTGTCACCAGCACCGATCATCAGCTCTGGGGTATATTCCCAGACTCCAAATGGTGAGTGGGGCACCACACACTCCCCTCTGCCCTCAGAAGGGTCTGTTTCCTGCCACTTCTCAGGGGGTGGCCATCCCTCGAGAACTACTGTCACTTGCACAGGGCAGACAAAGCTAGCAGGACAAAAATAAATAAGAAAATAAATGAAAAATAAATAAATAAAACGGAGCAGCTGGCAGTTGCCAGGCTGGCACTTACTTCTGGAGGTGCAGGTGATGCGGCCACTGCCCTCACCCAGGCAGGTGCAGTCCACCATCATCCAGCCCTGGTAGGGCTTCTCCCAGGTCTCTCCTACCACATAGGATGTCCCGGCCGTGTTGTCGTAGCATCGCTCAGCTATGAGAGGGAAGGAGGGATCAGAGCCCACCCAGGGCATTCCCACATGGGGATGCCTCAGGGAAGACAAGGAGGAAGGTGCCACCCTGACTGTGCTGAGGGAGAAGGAAGGAGCAGCCACTCACCCACAGGCTTGCAGGTCCACTCGCCCTTCCCATTGCCCAGGCACACACACTCCAACATGTATCCGCCCGTCTCATGGGGCCGGCGCCAGGTATCGCCGATCTTGTAGGACTGGCCACCCTCATGGCAGCGATCTGTGGACAGAGAGAGGGGAGCTGAGGTGAGAGACACACCAGGGACAGCATGGCAGCGACAAGGTAAGGGCCACCTGGCCAGGGGCAGCTGGGCTGGAGGGAGGCAAGAAGAAGGAGTGGGGCAGTGAGGAGAAGGAGGTGGACAGGCTGTGGCTGCCTCCTCTATCACCCTATAAAATGGCGCTCCCCATTTTCCACAGGCGCCGCCATTTTCTTTGCCTTCCAGACCCTGTTCCCTCCTTTCAGCTAACCCCCTCCATGTTCCAAACCACAGCCGAGACCTGGCTGGTGAAAGGGGAATGTTGGGACCTGAGGAGGTGCTGTTTCTCCCTCACACCCCCCTCTCAGGCTGAGGGCTGGTGAGGAAGGGTTTGCCTCCATCTTATTAGCAGTGATGCCATTCAGGCTTCTCTGTGGCCATCCATGAGGAGTATAAGAAGGTGCTTGGTATGAGGGAGGGAAACACAGTGAGGGCCGTTTGCAAACACAGGGTCTTCTTCCACGGAAATGAATAAAAAAAAAAAAAAAGGAAAAAACCCACATCCCATCCTTTATTAGGAGCCACTAAAATGTTCTGTGGGCTCATTTATGAAAGCAGGGAATCTAGGAGCTCTGAAGATTGATTCAAAGCCAGTTGCAGTCAGTGAGACTCTCCAGTGAGCTCTAAACCAGGCTGATGATGAGGAAACGAGACTGCTCTTTTGTTTGCAATTTCCTTACTGACTCTTTCTTTTCTTACAACACTTATCATCCCTGCTCAATAAAACGCCATTAAATTCAGAAGGGCTCCACTCTACTTGTTAGATTCAACGCATTATTTTTTTTCCCATGCTACAATGATGGCTGGTTTTTCGAGTCCTCTGTGGCAACACTATTATAGGATCAGTATGTGTGTCTTAAACAAGAAACTGGATACTTTTAAGAACAAGACTTTTCTCAAAAGGTGCCTCAGAGACTTTGAAATCTCAGTCTAGAAGTCCTGACACAGTGATCTTCATCTGTGCTCATAGAAAGTGTAATTATGAACTGAAGGGAAATTGTGAACAATTCAGTGACTCAATAAGGAAAGGATTTCCAGACAGAGACGTGAAAGGGGAGCTGGGGAGAAAGGACCAAGGGAAGTAAGGCGAGATCAAAAGGAAAGTATGGCTCAGGGTAGTGAAAAAGGAGTTGCAGAAACACATTAAGCTGCTGTCTGGATATCCAATCCCCGTTCCCTTATGGATAAGTGTTGGATGACATTTTTGGAGGATGGAGGACTGACTCTCAGGTGGCATTTATTTATTATCATTTATTCTGAGTAGTCCCATTAATGCTGATGGCGTTACTTTGACTCACTAGCTACAGAGCAGACCCTCATTCTTTTTTCCAGTCAGAAAAACTACTTTCAAAGGTGTGTCTGTGAAGATGCAACACACTCTTGTATGTAGTAAATGTAGTAAATGTACTGGACACTAAGAGTAAAATTTGGCCTATGTTTTTACACGTAGCACTTGACCTTTTAAAAGACAAATTTGCTTGTGCAAGTGTATGTACATGGGGCAAGGACTTTCAACTCCAAAATTTTGGTGGGCTTTGGATCAACCTCCCCTGCAACTTTCCAGCTAATAGGCATTGGGAATATGGTGTAAATTGCTCTGGAAAATATGACACCAAGGAACAATAGCTCTAGTAATAGGCTTTTAGTTACATACTGGCAATGGTGCAGCTGATTCTCCCACGTCCAGCTCCAATGCAAGTACAGTCCCAGATCATGGAGTCCTTGGGGCGCTCATAGGTCTCCCCTACCCGGTAAGTGGATCCCGTGTATTTGTCAAAGCAAGTTTCTTCGGCTTTAAGGGGGAAAAAAAAAAAAAATCAACTTCATGTAACCACACCAGTAACATGTACAGTCAACAGCAACACACATTCCTCGCCTCCACACACAGATATTCCTTTTTTTCCTGGGGAAAAACACCTATCAGTTTCCTTTTTCCTCCTGGGATGAAGCAGCACAGAGGAAGTTGGGTGAAATTTGCCTCCTCGAGGTCCCCATGATGCTGAATAACCTCTTCTTCCCTCCCCCAGTGAGCCAGAAGTTGCTGCATGGCACATCACAGGAATGCCTGAAAGGATCAATCCCAGCTGTTTGAAGCCAACAGTACAGAAGACAGGAGGGAACAAACATCCCCTGGAAGCTGTGTGCTTTGTCATGTTAATCCTCTTTGTTCTGACTTGGCAAAAACTGAGTGTATTAATCCCAAATTCTGCTGCAGTCCCACCAGAGTCAACAGCAAAGTTCACTACTTGTGAATTGTTCACACTCGTGCATGAGTAAGTGACTACAGAATGTCAGTGCTGCCACCAGACTCAAGATCTGCAACAGCCCAACTTTCTTCACTACTGAACAGATAAAGTTCACTGTATCATAAAGACAAACTTGCTATTGGACTTTGAAACTCTAAAACTTGGGAATCTCTGCAGGAGAAGGAAAGGTAGATTGAATCCCCTTTTATGGAGGAGCAAGGAGACTGAGTACTCCTTAAAATACTCCAGCCCTGAGGCAGGCAGCACACGAGCCTTGCAAAACAGATGGCTGGGACGCTCCCATCTGTCTTACGTGAACACTATCAGCCAGGAACCAGTTTCTCGCTCTTCTATCTCCAGAGCAGCATAAAGGAATTAAGGCAAGCCAGTGGCTTCAGACCAATAAGTACAGATAGATTGCATCTGACAATCTGAACTACACTGTACCCTGGAGAGACGCATCCTCCAGCAGACCTCGCATTTCAACTTCTTTCTGTTACCTAAACTTTTTCTGCACAGACTAAACAATCTCATTTTACACTCAATTATAGAAAGCTCACAGCACGGCCGGGGGGCTGTGGAAAGTTGTAAGTTGAAATATTTTTAAACAAGCTGACGACACCGCACAGCTATGAAAAGTTGGGGTGAAGCAATCAAACAGCGCAGAGCCAGAGCTGCAAAGTGACTCCAGATTTGAACTTCCCCGTGCGAGTCCAGGAGTCAGTTCAGTTCATTATAAAGAAGAGGTTTGGCTCCAGAATTAATGTTTAGATCCAATCCTCCACAGAGATGAGTGATGTTTGGCTCAGGATTCTGGTGGCAGGCCCATCACTAATGAAAAGCATTTCTTAAAATCCCAAGCCAGATCTTCAGTGTAATTGAGTGTAGATCCCATTACTGACCCTAAGCACCAAACTTCAGCGGAAAACCCAGGCTGCCAGCTCTAACTCGTACAAGGCTTAGCTTACTCGGCACCAAAAGCCATGCCGGGGTCTCGATGCAGACAAAAGGGGCCACCAACTTACGTTCGGGCTTGCTCTCGCAGTTGAACCCTCGGCTCCCACCGTAGCAGGTACAGACCAGCGTGTTTCCCAGGTAGGTGCGCTCCCACTGCTGGTTTATCTGATAGTACCTTCCATTGTCATAGCAGGTCTCTGGAGGGACAGGAGGAGGAGGAGGGAGATGCAGAGGGGGAAGAGAAGGCAAAGTTCGGCGTTACCGAGGGCAGCAGCCGGGAGGGAAGGGGCGCGGAGCGCACACGTGTGCGGGTCCCGCCGAGCCGAGGGGCGACCCAGGGCGAGCGCGGGGGGCACACGAAGCGCCCCGGGGCCACCGGAGCTCCCGTGGCACGGCCGCCGCCCTGCCCTGCCCGCGGGCGGTACTCACGCTTGCCCTGCGCGGGGGTGCCCTGCGGCACCGACGTGGTTTGGGTCTGCGCCTGCCGCCGGCTCTTGCCGCCGGCTCCGCGGCGATGTCCCCCCGCCGCCGCGGCCCCAGGCAGAGGGCGAGCAGCGCCAGCCGCCACACGGTGCGGCCCGGCATCCTGGCACGGCTGGGCTCGGCACGGCTCGGCTCGGCACGGACAGCCCGACGGACGGGACGGCGCCGCCGCCCGGGCGCTATATAGGGCGGGCTGGGCGGGGGGAGGCGGCCCGCCGCCCCGCCGCCCATTGGCCTCGGCGCCGCCGGGGGCCGGGCGGGGGCCGCCACCGCCCCGCCGGGCTCGCCGGGGTGGGAGGCCCGTCCCCCCTCGAGCAGAGCGGCCGTGCCATTTTGTACAACATCTGGCTGAACAAAATGGCCTTTTTTGGGGGGGAAGGAGAGGCAAACTTTTCTTTTTTCCTCTGAGCAGCGCTGCCTGTAAGCGGATACTGCTCCGTGCAGGAGGAATAATGTTCTGCACAGGGCAGAAGGTGAGGTGTAACATACGGGTTGGAAATAGAAACCTGAGTGATGTTTTATCTACTGCTGGGGACTCAAGGTTAAAAGCTTTCACACCTCACTTGGAAAGAACAGTGCAATTGCATTCCATTCAAAATGAATTTAATACCCTCTTTCTCTGACTTTATTTCTTGCTGTCCAAAGTCAACTTTGAGAACAAAAGAAAAGTGAAAAAAGAAATGCTAGGTGTTGAACCTTTATTATGTAGAAAGGTTCTTCGGTGTGTTGAGCTAATGTAACTCTGCTGTATGCAAATTTTGTCAACCTCTTCCATCTGTCTTCTTCCCATAGCCATCTCTGCTGCATTGGGGGGGCTCTCTTTTCCCTAGTTAGAAGGAATGCAGCAAGGCAGAGAGTGTGCACAGTAATTGTGGCTCTCAAGCTGCCACTGAGCAAATCACAGTGCACATCCCATTCTGGTGCAGCACCTGGACCAGCACTAAGTTCAGATCATACAGGAAGGTTGTGTTGCTGACCACTTTCATGCCTCTCTAGAACACTCTGTCTTGGCAAAGGGATGACTAATCTGAAAACTCTGCTGTGGTTCCTGATGTATTAAAGCAACTCTTCAGAAAAACCCGAGTGTGAAGTAGTTGACAGTGTATCGAGACATCTTAAGCTGACCTTTCACGGGTCTCCATAAGAGTTCTTCAGCATGTTAGGCACCAACAAGTTGTTGGTTCCACTTACTGCAAACCCACTGTGTCATCTTTACTGGAATGCAAGCAGTAGTGTCTCACAGGGGATGCAGACTGTTAGAGCAGGCAGAGTGTGGATCCAGCACGAGCCCTGTTCCAGGAAAGCACGGAGTTGTGACGTCAGGTGTCTGTTTGCAAAGACATTTCTTTTCCTCTGTGTGAGGAGTGCCCACAGATACACTAACACAAGCTTCCCTGATGAAAACTTACTGGAAACTGAAACCTGACCTGGCAATTGAGGTGAGCTGTGGTGAGCTAATTCCCACCTTTCCTAATTTTTATTTTTAGATCCACTGAGCTGCTTTTTTTTTTTTCATTTTTTTTTCCTTTTGAGTTACTGGACACACGATATCCCTCAAAATAATCACAGTACTAAGGTGGCCACAGTGAGAGGGAGCATTAGCTTTTGAGGGAGGACACGTCATCATAAACTAGCAAATACCCAGTTTCTTGAAATGAGAACCTGCTTTCAGAAAGTGTTCCCGCTTTTCTGAGACCTGAGATATGAAGTGTCAGCCTCACATTCCAGCTCACAACATAGCTGGAATTCTCTGATAAAAGCCAGGTGAAAAGCACGTTGTCAGAAAATGTTTCTTTGTGACCGTTGGATGTACTTTATCTTGCCTGCTCCAAAGGAAGCATTACCACGTGGAAATCGTTGGAAAAGAAGAGTTTTCCTCCCAGGAAACATATATGTGCAGTGAGGAGGCAATTTGAGGTCATTTTTCCAGTTACTGTGTAGAGATCCAGTGAGTATGTGAACAGGTCCTACTGCTGCTACTGGCTGCTAATTGAGCTCAATTGGCATGGAAAGGGTAATGACAAGTCTTCAAGGACAAGAGGATTAGGATACATCAAATTTGCCAGGGAAAACCTACTTAAATGTAAATGCTAAGTACAGGTAATCCATAAGGAATAGGCTGTGGTGGAATAAGCAAACATGAGGAAGAAACCTCTGCTTTTAGTGACTATTTGCAAATGGCATTTAAAAGGTTCGTATCCCAGGTGTCTTCCCCCATGAAGGTTAAATTATCAACAATGACCTCATTTCTGTCTGCTTTGAGTCCTGTTCATGTCATTTTGCCCTGCACTGAGGTCTTCAAGGGCAGTATAAGTATTTACACAAAACTGAAAATGGAATTCAGTCTGAAAACTGAATGAGAAAAGACAGTGTTAGCAAGTGTGTCACTGTGTCTAATTCTCTCCACAGCATTAGTTACACAAATACAGGGACAAATGTAAGATTCTTGTTTAAGAAAACATTACTGGAAGCACACAAAACAAAATTACAATTTTCAATGATTTTCAAATTAGTTTCTTGCACAGCCATCATTTATTAGTAGCCAGAAAGAGTCTTAGGAGTCGTATTTCAAGGCAATTTAGAGCAGCCTGGTTTCACTTCTAAAGGAATCTCTGACAGTAATTCTGACACAAACATGCAGTAATTTTTATATTGCATGCTGTTAGCCTTTGTGAGATGTCTCTTATTTATTTTGGGAAATGGATGGAACTCCTTGTCTGTCCTGCTGTCAGTGCATCCCTCGAGCCAACAGGAAATGAAAGGAAGAGTCACCTGAAGTCTTCCTTCAGATGACATCAGTTTGAATTCATAAACCACCCATCCATGGTTTCCTCATCCAAATAAGGATTAGGAATGTCCCAAACCTCTGCTTTAGCCATGGCTATTCTGATTCATATTCTTGGTCTATTCAGATTTTTTTCCTACTGAAATCCTACCTTTTTGGCTCTTGGCTAGGAAAGGCACATGCCCTTATAAGGTTCTCCTGACTTTTGTTGCTCCATTGAATTGCTCTGCAGATAAACCTCTCCACTGGGTCGACCTGATTTCCTTTCCTGCACACGCTCGTGGGGAGCCACACATATGACTGGGAGCATGGTCTGTCCCCATAGCCATTCCTCTGCAAATTCCAACAGCAAAGAGGGAAGATGAATCAGTACAGAAAGGACCACGTCAGGTCACTTGTTGTTCTAGAAGGAACCTTAGAAAAAAGGCCACGTGGGCTTAATCATCTTCTAAAATTATCACTTATAAGGAACAAGAGTCGTAAAGAGAAGAGGTCAGGATTCCTCTCCTTGACAAAGGGAGACCATTAAACGCTTCCTGCAGTTCCCAAATATTTTGCAAGAACTCCTGTTGCGAGCTGAAAATTTCTGAATCATCACAATTTCAAGTCTGTGGTTTTTGTTAGGTCACAGCAAAATTCACTTCGAGGCTGCTGAGGCTCCACTGCACAGTGCTCCATTCACTGCTGAGTGTCTCGTCCAGGAATCCGGAACATCGTTCTTTAAAGGAAATTCATTCCTTCTGCTGGTGAACTGCAGCTTCAGTGAGACGTAACTTTGTGCCGGCTCTCAGAGCAGGGATGAATTTCATCGGGTATAAATGCTTCATGACAGGGCATTAATTAGATCTTTGGCACTCTCAGTGGAAATTCCCTTCTCTTCTCCCTCCCCCCTGGTCCTTCCTAATGAAATGTTTGGTGTCACCGACGCAGAAAAGCGCATTTCTTTTCTCTAGCTGTCCGTGGATTCTGATATTTAGTTTGGTCTACCTGAACTGTTGTGGTTTGCCAGCGATGAGAAGTTCACAGCCACAGCTCTTGTTTGGCATTAGGGTCTGCAGTACTGTCTAACCCTTGTGAGCCACTCCCTGCAAAACTGGGGGGGGAATCAGCTTTGGAAAGCAAGGGGAAAGACATTTCCATTCTGATCCAGGTAGAGGAGCTCTTTTGGGGCTTTTGGGTTGTTTGCTTGTTTTCCTGATTTGTAAGGAGGTGTTTACATCGCATACAAGGGATTTAAGAATGGAAACAAACCCTACCCTGCTTCCTGATGCCAGCTTGGCAAGAAAAATGAGAATTCTCATGAGACTCATGACAATAGGAATCAGCAGGCAAGTGGCATGGGACAGTCCTTTCTTCCCAGGAGAAGCTTCTGGATGGGAAGCTTCAGCTTGAAAATAGCTGAAATAGCACCAGCTTGAAATAGCTGAAAACCCATTCTTCATCACATTCTGAGATGTTTCACAGATGCCTGAAGCCTGTTCATGTTACCCCAAACCCTTTGGAACTCCCATCCTCCTGCCCTGCCGGGGAAGTTCTGAGGCACTTCTGGAAACTTGTCAGGGCAGCTCTGGGAGTGAATTGGTGTTCAGGATGTGTCACAAACACTATTGAAACGGGACTGTGGGACCTGGCTTGGAACACCAAGCACGGTGGGGCCAGCTCTCCAAAGATGTTATTTTAGGCAGAGCTGGAACCAGTTTGTCCTGAGGGCCGTTCTCCCAAGTTGATGTCTGCCCTGCTCAGATTCTGGTGGCTGTTTTTATTTAGTCATTATGGGTTTCTAACAATAATTTGACTTTTGAGTAATAGAGGGTTTTTTCTTTTAATGAAAGGACAACAGTTAGTTGTGTCCATGTTGTTAGGATCACTTGCATCTCCCTCAAAGCCCAGAAGCAGAGTTGAAAGCCTCCCTTTTTCCACAGAAGTTTTAAAAGTACTAAAGCAAAGTGAAATAATGGTGATATCACCACCAGCAGCATGAGGTGAACTTGGCCACAAACTCTGATGTTTGAGTGCAATTCCTTTTATTCTCTCCCAGCGAATATGGCAAACCACATTGAGTTGTGTTTGATTTTAGGCAGGCCTGGTTTAAATCCAGAAATAAATGTTAGTGCTGGGTTGAGCTTGGCTTGCTGTGAGGAAGCTGAATACACTGAGCAAGCAAACAGCCATTTATTATGATTATTATGGTGGACTGTGTAATGGGTTGAAATTGAGAGTCACAAAGGGCTGAACTAAGCCAGGAGCATCCAGAAGGAAAATATTTTGGCTCCAAGCTGCAGTTTGTCCTGTTTCCTTCTTACCCCTTCCACCCAGC